TTTCACAGAAATTCAGGTAAACCCACGTCCTCTGGGAACTAACTGCAGTAAATTTCCTTGTAAAATGTTGAGTGCTTCCCCAGCACTGTGGTGTCACAGCTGCCATGCCAGGAAGGATGAAGCTTTCCTGAAACACATCAGATGTCAGTCTGAGCACCTCCTGTTTCATCTGGAGCTGGTTGCTGGCGCTGTGTTTCTCAGGGCCTCTTTAAGGGTGCGTTCTGCCATTGGAAACAGTTGGCAAAAGCAGATGAACGCTGCTCACGCAAATTCAGCCTCCTGACTTGGGAGAGCCCTGAGGCAGTCTGAGAAGACTGTCCACCGAAGGCAAGAGCAGCTCCTCTCTGCAGGGTAATTTTGGATTCTGTTTTGCTTTCACTGGATTCTGCAGTTAGAGGTATTTGAAGTTTGAACAGAGACGAAATGCAATGAAAGAGTGGGTGCCAGAATCTGTAGAATTTATTCCAGAGCTAGATAAATGGTTGTTTTTCAGCTGACGAGAGAATAGCTTAGAAAGTGCCAAGGGAAGAATAGCAAGTGAAAATTCTCAGGTTCTGAGGAACTTTTGTTTGGATTTTGACTTTGCAAACATGAAAGCGGAGTTCTGTTTGATCTGAGGGCATAGACCTGCAGGTATGTTACTGCTGGAGGGGGAACCAGACAGCGGCTTCTGTAATTGGCCATGCTCCTGGTTCATTTTAAATAACAGGTGAAATACATCTCTTTAAACGTTTTTAAACATCTGGGGATTTTGAATCCAAGGAATCTAAGAATCCAAGGTAGAGGCTGAGTTGGTCCCACAAAGGCACTGAAGGCACACAAGTTAGAGCCGCAGTTGATCAGCCAGCAGTCTCCATGTGGAATGTTTCCCAGGGATTAATGCAATTTTGTGTGTTGCTGAAGAACAACCTGGAGTATGTGACTCAAATTTCACGAGGTGTTCTCTGTTGCAGGGAACAGCAGGTTTCTTCAGACTGCTCAGCTGTCACCTGCAGCCTTCGCCGCGTGCACACCACCCCCAACACGATGACCAACCTGAGTGTCTCAAGCGTGGCAGTCCCCACAGAGTGCCTGGTCTGCTCAGAGCTGGCCTTGCTCATCCATTTCTTCCCCTGCCAGCACAGTATTGTCTGTGAAGGTAAGTTCTGCTTTTTCTGTGTTTTTTTTTTTTTTTCCCCCTTTCCCGTTCCGCCATGCAGCCTCCCTGTCTAGACTCTCATATATCAAGGTCTGTCGAGCTGTGTGTGACCTGAAACAACCCCAGCATGACTTCAACAACACTGTTTCTAGATAGGATGGCCAAAGCCATCCATGACAGGCACCCATTGTGCTGAGCACCTGCTGGTAGGCCCCCCAGGCAGTGCTTATGGATGCCCTGGATAATTCAGAAGGAAGGCCAGATGTTTCAGTTCTGGCTGGCAGTGTTTTATCCATCAAAACCTCCTGAGAAGGATTTCCCCCTTCTCTGGCTTTTGTTACCCATTTGTATCTCGGCTATTTTAATGGCAGCTTGCTCAAACATGTCTGCAAGCTTGTAACGTCATCAAGGCTCCCTCAGTCCAACCCCAGGGAATTTGGTAAGGGCTGTGTGTGAGGGCTGCATCCTTTTCACACAGAATAAAGAGCTGTTTTGCCTCCACGATGGCAACAGTTCTGGCAGCACGGAGATGTGAGGAGGTAAAGGTGTTTTAATTGCTACTAACATAGGAAGGACTAAACCAAAAGCCTAGGAGGTAGCTCAAAAAGAAGGCCATGTCCTCATTTCCATGCAGGAACAGTCTCATAATCACCCAGGGAGTTCTCAGGTCATTTAAAAGCTGATCTTCTTGAGCCTGTTCTCTTCCTCTCGCTTCTGGCACTGGTGGGCTTGATTGTAATCACTCCTTGTATCATTTTGGTAGAATGCTCCAGGAGAATGAAGAAGTGCATCAAATGTCAAGTGACAATAACCAAAAAAATCAAGCAAGGTATGTGTGCTGTTCCTACTGTTCAGTGCTATGTATTGGGAAGGGGCCTTCACAGCATTTGTTTGAGAAATGTGCATAAGGAAGAAAGTTGTGTTTTGGGGAGAGAAAAGAGGGGAGTACCCATTGCACTGATTACATTCAGAGAAGTACTTTCAGCTGGCATGGGCCAAAATCAAGCTGCAGAGACAGGACATTTGAGGAAGCTAGAGCTGTGCCCAGCTTATTCTGTGCAGCATCGGGTTCTCTGCAGTTAGAACTGCAGTCTCCTCCAGTCTACCTATCTACACAGGCAGCAATTTAACAATGAAAATTTGTGAGAAAGGAAAAATGGCAGCTTGTGAAAGCCTTGCTTCTCACCTGGCTGAAATTCCAGTGCCTGTGCAGGGCTGGCATTGGCCAGCTCTCTAAGAATTGTTGAGCTGGGTTGTTTTGATAAAGATCTTCAGCCTCACCTAAAACAGATTGTCTTGTGTCTGTATCACTCCATCCAGAATGGCAAATGTGTGTCATCGAGATGGTGGCAGCTTTGGAACTCCAAAGAGTGGAGAGGGGAAAAAAAAAAGTTTGCCTGACAGTAGGTGGGAGCATTTGTCTTTGCTCCAGACTGCTAAATGGCATCAAAATGGAAACACGAATTCCAGAGGATGTATTTGCATGCAGATTGCAGTTACAGAAAGGAATATCTCAGTCTGAGTATATCAGCAGGACTTAACAATGAGTGATGTCTTCAGTGTGTCTTAGCAAGCTCTCTGTTCCCAAACTTGCTTCACTCTATGGATTTGAAGTCACTTCTTACACTGCTGAACTACAACTTGGTCCAGGAAAGGGGAAAGGGACATCTGATTGAAGTGTAAAACTACCTGATCAAAGATTAAGGAGCAGAAGATGAGCAGAGGCTGTATTGAGGCTGAAACTGGAAAGAGTATATTTCCCTGAGCTGGCAGTTTTTCAATTATTTGGGGTTCTTCTTTCACATTTCATCTATGTAGAGCAACTATCTCTGTAAGGTCCACTGAATTTTGCATATAGAGTCGACTAAAGGACTCTACTTGTGTAGCTTCATGTGTGCAAAAGTCACTGTAAGTGATGTCAAATGATGTCGTCTTGTTTTACCATGTGTGTCCTGAAAAATACCAGCAGAAATTTGAACCCTAAATGTAATCAGGAGGTTAAGAGAGCATGGTACCAATAGCACTGTGAGGACTCCTGGACTAGTATGGCAGAACATCACAACCAGCACCAAAAGCTTTTACTTAAAGGTAGCACCAGTATATTCCAGAACGCTAAGGCAGGACAGATCAGACAACATTTGCATTTTCTTTTTATTTGTTTTGATTCTTTTATCTTTTTTAAAACAGAAACAGGCAGACAAAAGCAAACAAATAAACAAACGCTGAGCAAGAAAACAGGAAAGCAGCACTGGCCAGTGTGTAAAAAAGCATCATCTCTGGCTTTTTGTTTGTGGAATCCCTGGACAAGGCTCAGTGAAGAGAGTTTAGTCTGAGCTAATTGCTGCTCATTGAGGGACAGTCTGATTAAAGAGATGCTGCATGAGGCAGAGCACAGTAGCCACTAACTGTCTCCCTGCTCTCCCGCCCTGCAGACAGCACGGAGGTGGAGTGCAGCCCGAGCTCTGAATCCACAGATCAGAGGAAGCTGATGGAGGAGCTGCAGAACCGCTACCGGCAGATGGAAGAGCGCATCACCTGCCCCATTTGCATCGACGACCAAATCAAACTGGTCTTCCAGTGTGGACATGGCTCTTGCCCAGACTGCAGCACAGCCCTTACTGTCTGCCCCATCTGCCGGCAGGCTATCCGGGAGAGGATTCAGATCTTTGTCTAAGGATATGCTTGCTTCCCTTCCCATTCCCACCTCCCTCATTTACTTCCTTTTTGTTTGCATTTTAGATGAGAAGCGCTGCTCGGTCTGGGTTTGGCTACCTGCAAAGCCAGCGTGAGAGAGGGGGGGGAGACAAATAATGTGATTGGGGTGGAGGTGGAGGGAGGGAGTCCCCTCTGCTCCCAGTGTCATACAGGCAAGGAGTGGTGCAGGGCAGGCAGCCGCCTCGCCTGGGGCTGCTGCTCCATCAGAAAGACGTGAAGTAAAGAACACTGAACTGTCAACTGAAGTCAGAAGAGACGTGCAGACCAGAGGTGATAGACTTCCATACGCAGGTGTTTTCAAGGGCATCCAGCTCCAGTGCCTGCAGCACATCCCGTGCCCTGCAGGGGCAGAGCTGGAGCCTTGGCACTCGGCAGTGCTCTGAAGGAGACGCTGTAGAAGGATCAGCCTTATCCTTCGGCAGGCAGAGGCAAAAAGCACACGCTTGCACTTCACAGGAGGAGGTATCAGAGGAGATCAGTCCTGGCCATCAGTCCTCCTCCTTGCCTGTCGCTGGTAGGGAGGTGATGTCCTCTGACAGCGTGTTCTCTGAACTGGAACTTGGGGGCTCAACAAGAATTCGGACTGACAGAGGCAAATCTGGATGTGATGAGATCCTGGGAACAGAGCGTGTGCCTTAGAGATAAAGTAGTGAACACTGATTGGAGAAAACATGTTGTTACAACAGGAACTTCTACGTGACACTCTTCTTACATGTTTTTTTTCTGCACAATGGTGTGTTCAGAGACTCCTGAGCTTTCTATCCATAATGCCAAAGGCAGGTGTTAAATACTCCAATCAAAGTGTAAAGAAAATAAATAGTAATAATTAAGAGATGAGAAAGAGAGATTTCATTTTGGTTTCTTTGTTTTGCAGCAAAACTTAATAAAATCAAATCTATATTTTTCCTGAGCATTAAAATGAATGTACAAACAGTAGCTGAACTATGGATCTGGCTGTATTGTGTTTTCCAACTGTCTGACTGAAGAAATACTATCCGGTGACTCTGTCCTGTAAAGTAACTGTTGGTGGAAGTGCCAACCTGTAGGGCTAGCGTGCCATGCGTGTGTGTACGTATCCTTCTGTGTTTGTGTGTGGTATCTATCTTTAATGACACAATTATACACAAGTGATACTGTTTGTTACATCTTGCAAGCAATATTTAAAAAAAAAAGGAACAAAACTACTGTGGTCCTCTACTATCTTTGTTCATTGGCAAAGAGATGGCAAATATTTTAAAGAAATCTTGGATTTGTGCAATATGGGGTAGCTATGAATGTAGCTCTTACTTCATCTTAGTCCTCTGGTGGTGTGAAAAAGTGCTGTCACAGTCCCTGATTCTTACAGCTGATCTTTCTCCAAATATTCACTTGAAGCTGTTACAAATTCAGTGGGGTTTTGATACAGGGCTACAAAAAAGAAACAGATTTAACCCCACGTGGGCTCACATTTAATTCTGAGAGAAGCTGAAGCTGAATTTCAGAATCAGCTTTGGTGAAATCAGAAGTGTGGATGTATTTATTTATTTCCTAGAAGTTCACGTTAGGGTGTGTGCCTTTGGAATAAGCAGGTATTTACCCAAGTGGCTGCTGTATTGTGACGAGGCCTCAGGTGAAGAGGACGGTGCAAAGGCTGCTTTCTGGAACGAGAAGACCGAACCACCGTTACGAAGTAAGAGCTACCCTTTGCTTCAAGTGAAGCATTTTCCAGAATATCCATTACCCTACCTGGATGCAGTTGTTGCAGCAGAGATTTTCTTTTTTCCTGGCTAATAGAGATCTTGTAGAGAAAGAAGAGCTTCCATCAATTGTACATTTTATTTATTTTATTTTATTTTTTTTAAACAAATTCCTGTTCAAGAGCTCCTGATTTTTTTTTTCCTGTATTGCTAAATGTGAGATGGAGTTTTGCACAGCACAATGTACCCGCTTACGTAGCATGGGAACTGTTTGTAAGCACAGCTTTGGGGCTGGGGCTCTGTTCTTTCATTTCCCTGTTTCTGTTGTGATTGCTTTTGATGCCCAAGGAGCAAGAGTCGAGCTGTTAAACACCATTTTGACCCTTTCATTTCCTAGTAAGAAGAAGGGAATTGCTGCATTAATGGAGAAGAACCAAGCTGGTCAGTGGAGCTGCAGGAACAGGAGGGGATCAGCAGGAAGCGGATGCCCGTGTGTCCAGGTATGGTTTTTGACAGGCTTTGTCCTCACAGCAGGTTCAGCTCCACAGGAGTCTGAGGTTTTCTCCTCTTCTATTTTGGGGAAATGAACTGGGGAGCTCCGTGTTTTCCTTGGGTCTTCTGAATTGCAGTTCTGTAGCTCGCATCAGCGTTGGTTTTGAGAAGGAAAGATCTTGCTGAGTCTGGTATAAATAAATACGAGGCAGCAGCTGAGACAGGTTAATGCTCTAACTACTGGGCTCTATGTAATCCTCCCAGCTGAAATGTCAGCTCACATTTCCCAACTGGCCTACAAGAAGGCTTTTTTTTTTTCTTCCATTAACCAGCCTCTTCTGCTTGCAGTTCTTCCACAATACTTATGGGTGGTGCGAACTCAGGCTTCTCGTGAAATTGAAATCGATATCGCTATTCCCAGGAATGAGCCTTCTGTAGGAAGGGTATTAAAATGTCCCGGGGGAAAAAAAGAAAAAGAGATTGTCCTGCAGACAATAAAGCAGGACTTTATTTTACTTGCATGGAGCAGAGCACATACTTTACTAACATGGGTACTTCTGTGACCTTTATTGAGTCTTCATGGTTGGATTTTGTGTAGTTTTTCAACCTTACAAGAGGTGGTTCCTCAAGCTTTGAAATGGACTCTTGGGATGTCTCAGTGTGGATCCTCCTGAAAATGTCTAGTTGCTTCTGCAATCTTGGCCATCATTTAGAAGTGAACACAATTTTACTCTTTTGCTGTGGATATTTACTTGTACTTAGTCTTTAAATGAACGTGGTCCTTCTCAGTCGCCTTCTCAGTCAGTCTCCTATTATTGGAGAATTTCTGTGCTTCCTTTAGAATACAAAAGAGGCTGTGTGCTATTCTATTTCTTGCCTTTTAGTTCAGCCTCAGGAAATTCTTCATAACAAGTGTGACCCCTTTTACTTTCTTACTTTCTTATGCGTGCTGTCACTTAATTTTTTCCTGGCAGATAGTGTGCTAATCCAGCTGGGAGACTGGTATTTGACTTGGCAGCTGGTCTCGTGAGCAGGCTTTTCACGCAATTGGATTTTCATGGAAAATTGATTTTGTAAACCTGCCATTACTCTGGGCATCCTAGGGGTCAGCCCCAAGCCTTCTGAAATCCGTACCTGGGGTTCTTTCACTTGGCCTCAGTGGTCTTTTTGGAATAGTGCTTGGTATGCAGAGGGATTGCGTGATCCCAGGGCAGAAAGTGCCTGCTTTCAGTGGGCAGGAGGAAGGCTTCAAGTTTGGAGGAAGTAATAATGCAGGTATTTGTAACCCTGTTTCGTTTGACCACTAAATTAGGCTGATGTGATTGAAGTGCAGACAAGGGACAAAGCCTGTCCCCGATGCCACCCATGCAGGCAGGGTGACAGATGGCTGCAGGGGCCACCGCCGGTTCCTGATGCCTGTTCACACCCTCATGTGCTGCTGTCTGGAATCTGGGTGTGCAAACAGCTCTAAACCCCCGAAATTTCTCCCTCAGCTAATTTCAAGGCTTATTTACCCAACTGGATCCACACGGATTATGGAGTGCATTGCAGGGGAAGTTTGGTTAGCTCAGTCCTGCCACAGTTCAGTGCAGCTGTCAGGATAAATGACTTTTTTTGGGGAGAGAAGGAGAAATATGCATTCGCTTAATTAACTCAATACTACAGCAATTCCCAAACATTAAACACACACTGCACAAACCACCAAACCAGGAAAGGTCTCCTAAGGCTGGTATTTCTTGGCCAATTCATAGGTTGGGACACATTTTCAAGGAAATCAAGTGTCTGATGGTGTATAGAGCAGCTACAGAAACCCATGAGAGCCTTCAGACATCTGACACCTCTTAGCTCTGATGGGAATTCCTGTAAGTGTTCCAAAAATCAGGGCTTCAAGATCTTGCATCCTGCCTGCGTCTTTCAACAGAGTAAATAGCATTTCAGAGCTCTGATTTTTGCACAGGTTTCAAATCTCACACACAAACCCAGGATTTCAGAGACGAGGGAAGGTGTTGAAAGCCAAACACCTTGAAATCCTAGACCAGTGGGTGTGGAGCTTCTTGAAATCTGGCCTCAGGAGCCAAGTGTCTACAATTCTGACTTCTAATAAGACTGGGAAAGCCCAGCACTTTGGAAAATTGGTCCCTAAACTCTGTGTGCCTTGGATTGTTTGTGCATAGTGCGGAGTGCCCACACAAAATATCCCTGTGGCATTGTTAGCTACAGCTTTTGATGGGTGAAGAGCAGGGCAGGATGGGTGCTGGAGGGACCAGACCAGGAGAAAATTGGTATTTATCTCCTGAGGGTTTTTAAAGAAATGTGCTCTCCTCTTTGGTCCTGCAGGTGCAGCGAGAGATGCGCGTCCCAGTTGCCCCAGTGTGCCTGCTGCTGCTGTGCTGCTCTCACACCGTGCACTGACGTACAAAGGTAACAAAAATGAGGCTGCTTTGGGATCACTGCTGCCTGCCAACTTGCTGAGACGCTCGCATTCTGCAGAGGCAACACTCAGCTGGACACTGCTTTTGTTAGTGAGAGGTCTCCAGCGAGCAGCTGATTTATTCCCCTTTATTGATGACTGCATATCTTGGAACTGGTTTTCCCCAGTGCCACCCCTTTGTGCTCCCCTGTGCAGTGAGGACGCATGATCAGGGCTGGCAGACCCAAAAGGTTTGAACAACGGGGAAAATCTTTGCAATGTCTTAGAATAAAAGCTGCCCTTTGGATGATTCTGAAAGGAAAACCTTTAAATACTGCTTGTCCATTATTTTATTGTCACACCCTATTCAGAACAGGTCACCAAAAAAAAGTGCTCCTCTGTGTATTTATAGATCTTGTGAAACTTTATTTGATTTGTAATTGTTTCAGGAGCTTGCTTGCAGAATTTGCTGAAGTAAATGGCAGTTCTTTTACACTCTTCAGTGGGCTGGGACTCAGGCTGAAGGAAAGGCTGTTGCTGAGTGGATGCAATCCTGCAATTAGCCCACCAAGCTGTTTGCATAAGTCCTTGCTGGATTTCCTTCTGCCCTTTCCTAAGCCCTCCATATTTATTCAATGTCAGGAAATAAAATGCCTGCAAACTTTCATTGCTTAAATGAAATAAAAAGAAAAGAGTTGGCAAATGGTAACAAATCCCCAGCTGTGGCTCTGATCCTAATAATTAGAAAATTAGGGAGATGATGAAATAGCTTTGATCTACTTTCTTTTTAAAACACTCACCTCTTCTTCCAAACCATCTCTGCATGGTTTGCGCTCAGCAAGTGTAAACAGCCATGTGCTGGTTATTCCTCAGCTCTAGCTTTGTTCGTCTCAGACGAGTCTCCGTTGATCAATATATTGCAGTTTGAGGGAGGGATGTAAGCAGAATAAAAGGTTTCCATAGTGGCTGTCTGTCACAGCCATGACAGAGATAGCATCAAAATTTCTACTTAACCTCAAAGTCTTAAATATAGCACTATGGAGAGCACAAATAGCCTTGATGGGTTCAAGCAGCAATTAGCAGTTTCAGCAGCACTCAGACCTTGCAGGAAAGATTCAAATTGGGGTTAAGAGGTTTTAAAGCCATTGGATAAAGGACAGTATCCAGCATGCCAGGTGTCCTCTGCATTTGCTTCCTCCATGGACAGGCACAGGAGGTGAGTGCAGAGGGCTCTTACTGCAATGCAGGTCTCATGTTTTGCAGCACAGTTGTCCTGCAGACAAAATAATGTATATTTTCAGACTGCTGAGCTAGCAGCAGCTCCCGCCCCATCCTAATGACCTGGTTTGCTTCTCCTCCGCAGAGGCCGAGCTGGATGAAGAGCACTGGGGGCAAACACCAGTTTCCCATCGACATCCAGAGGAAGAAAGAGGTGCACAACCCCCAGCTGCTGCAGCTGGAGCTGAGTGATTACGACGAGCCCTTGCAGGGGGACATCACAACAACCAGCAACGGCCATTCAGGTAAGGCTGGGGGGAGCCTGTTTATCTCCTGCCTAAAAAGAGGAGCTCGTTTCTGGCAAAGGAGCAGACATACAGCTCATACAGCCCCCTTCAGCCCCATTTTGCAGGCTTCAGTGGTCCCTGACCCACAGCACGGTGCATGCACCATCCCTGATCATGCAGCATCAGGACCCCCTGTGCTGCTGCCATGACCATGGGCGATGCTGGCAGCAAAGCCAAACCTCACATTTTTGAAGTGCAGACGTTGGTAATGGTAGGGCTGGCCTGAAACCACAGCCTTTTGCCCACACCTCTTTGTTAGCACCCTGCACCATCCCACAGTGCGTTTATTGGAGGAAATACAAACCTGAGAGCATCCTGCTTTTAAGCTGTAAGGCAAGCTGTGGTCTGTCTTCTGGAGGGTTTGTCTGGGCAGCGCAGCATGCACTCATCACTGGAGTATAAAGGAGATTTTATGAGTTCAGATATGTATTTTTGCCCCTGTGTAGTGAGAACCAGAAGTGATGGGATGGGAGAACTGTAGCTCAGCAGTGAGCTGGCAGCTGATGGTTGGTTAGCTGTAGTCACACAAGGCAGAGGAGGAGCCCTCCTACAGCCCTCAGGAAGGGAAGCTGAAGCACAGCCCAAGTTAAACGCCTTGCCTTTGGCTGCACAGCCTCAGAGCAAGGCTTCTCCTTTAGGAGGTCCTGGATGCTCCTGCTGCAGGTAATGAATTACCTAAATAATTCATCAGCTGCTGCTGCTGGGGTAATGCTTGTAGACTACAGATGAGCAGCAAGAGAAGAATTTCCCAATAACTGCTGCAGGGGGATGAGTATTTTCAAGGCATTTGGAACATGAAGAGCCTGGTTGCTCTCTAATCCCCCACGCCAGTCCTTTCTTCTCTCTGCAGCAGGGAGAAAGGAATATAGAGCAAGAACAAGGAACTGAAGCGATGAGAGACGCCCTCTTCAGAGAGAGGCTGCTGTGATTGTATTTCTAAAAATCATCATGAATAAGCACTCCTATTTTTCCCCCTTGCAAGCCTGACATTCAGCTGGAAGTTGTCATATCAGCACTGCCACCCTGACAGCCTGCACACCAATTCCTGCAGGTTTAGCTTTCGCATCTCTGCACGTGTGCCTTTCCCTATTCTCTTGTCAACATCAAGACAGCGATGCTCTAACGTGGGGCGTTTTAATACAGCACAACAACAGCCTGCAGTCACAGCTCCTGCGAAGGCAGGCGCAGTTTCCCCACTGATTTCAGAGGGCTGCCACAGGGTGCCAATCCCCCATGAGGAAAATCTCCCACTGTGCCACACCTAAAGGAGGTCAGCAAATGGATTAATCCACAGGAATCTCTGCTCGAGCTCTCAGGTGCTGAAGAACAAGTTTCTCACCTAAGAAACCAGCTGCACTTTTGGCACCTGATGTGCAGCATCCATTAACTCCTTACCTCAACCCCTTGGAGGCCAGAGGCGGGAGAAGACCCTGGCCCCGTGTGCTGTTCCCCTGCAGAACCCACATCGTGGGACCACAAGGCAGGTCCAGCTCAGAGCAGTAACTCTCCCCCTTTACATGGAGATCCAGGGCAAGAAGCAGAAGGAAGCTGGGCTGTTAGCAGCAAAGCAATTACACAAAATGCCTTTTGGAAGATTTAACCTTCCCCTAGATTCAGAACACATCTCACTGGCTGTGTTTTGCAGAAGGTAGAAGCCATAATGAGGTACTTGAGGCAAATAATCCTAATTATGGAAGGCAGTCAGCAGGGATCTTACATAAAAAGTAAGGTAGGTGTTTATTTCCCACTGTAGACGCTTTGGGATATCACAAGGAAACAGGTTCTCATCTTGTATGGCTGTCAACACTTTACAAACAAAAGAAACTCTCTCCTCTAACCCAAGCTCTGACTACTGAATCACACACGGTGCTACCTTTAGCAATGAGAGTTGCTATTTTATTTTACAACATGCTCTGGGCTTTCACTAGGAGGAAGCAATTCTCCATTTTAAGCCCTAAATTCAGCATATTTATTACCCTAATATATAATCTGTGGCAGTACACCAGCAGGAACGCCAATGTTTCATAGCCCTGGTGTGAATGCTCCCAGCAAAGCGAGACAAAGGGCTCTGTCTCTCAACCCCCCCAGCCCAAAGCAGCTATTTCAGATTTGCAGGGCTCTGGCCCAGCATGCCCGTCCCTAACAGCCACAGAGCCCAGAACATGGAAAATGATGGTGAAGGGTTAGGTGAAGCTGGTTGCTTTGTTATTTCTGACCCCCTCCTCTTCTCCCTGGAAATAACGAGATGAACAAATGCATGCAGAGCCCTGCAAGATGTGATGTGCGGTGCCAGGCACAAGCATTAAACCATTTTTATAGGTGTCTAAGGAAAAACCCAGAGCTGCCCAGCTGGGAATCAGCTCTGCACTCACTAAATACTCACATAAATACTTTTTCGTGGGGAAGGCACTAGTGGGCGCTTGTGAGAAAGCAGAAAGCCACAGAATGCTTGCATCTGTGCATACCACCGGGTCAGAGTTAAAATAACTTCTTTCAGGCACAATATCTTCACCATGACTTAGCTGATAAGAGCCTAGACAGGCTCTTCCCTTCCCTTGCTAATGCTCAGCAAGAGACCCTGCAGGGTCCCCCTGCCACAAGCTCCTGGGTTTAACCCTGAGCACTTCCAGGCCAAAGCACTGACCCTGCTGCTTTAAAACAAAGTTCTTCCCCAAACCTCCTACAAACCAGAAAGCAGGAGAGCTGCCACGTGCAGGTCCTGGCTTTTGGTAAGTCCAGCTGTCTGATTGCTCTAGAACAATGCCAGCCAGAAGAGCTCAGCCTTAGACTAGAGCAGATCCAGACGCAGCTCCAGGACATGAAGAAAGAGTTGCTGAATGGAGTGAGCCATGTGGGTAAGAAACATGTCTTGGGGCCTTCTCCAACGGATTTGCAGGGTGGATGATGCATGTGAACCTGTAGATGTCATAGCATGGGGAGAAACCTCCATGACCCTCTTAGGAGGGGTGGTTCTGGAGTCGGACAGCAGCTGTCAGTGACCCTCCCACACCCCCTTTAAAAAAAAAAAAAAAAAAGGAAACAAAAGAATGCAAACCACTTGCTAGAGAAAATGAGAAAGGAAGTTTGCTTCATTTATTTGTTTTAGATTAATTGCTTGTTTCTCCTTCTGCTTGCTCCAGGTTCACTAGGCACCTTGCTTAGTTTTTCCAAGTAGGCATAGTGGGGCAAAGCCTCCATCAATCAGTAGGATAAAGGCAAAAAAACAGAGAGCAACTCAGCACAGTCCAATGCCTTGCATCGTCACATCCCTCCCAGGAGTCTGGTGTAGGGCCCCATGCACAGAGCTCCTCATATGCCAAAAAGTGCCACTCTGGTTAGAGGAACCCCTTTCTCAGGTGAAACTATTTTCACGTCCTTCACCTCAACTCCATTTCTCACCATCTTCCCTGCATGCAGCCTTTATTCCTATTTTCACCACCAAACCACTGCCCCTTCCAACGCAGAGGTATCAGACAGTGAAGGGTGCACAAAGGCCAGCACGGCTCCTACGCAGTCGTTGTGCTTTGCTCAGTGACGTGTCCTTTTTGTAAATGGATGGCGAGACTGAGCGTGGAAGCAGCTTCTTTCTCAACACGTACACATCACAAGACAAGGCTGAGGGCATGTAGGACACTCGTCTCCTGGGGTTAAAGACGTACGTCATGGGAAGGATTATTGCCAGCAACAACACCAAGTCCGTGCCAGGCTGTTGAACAATTCTGCTTTTCTCCATGCAGAGGGCAGCAACCTTGCACAATTGTGTGAATTTCCACATGTTGAGTTATGCAGCAATGAACCCTCAAACCCCTTAAATAAATCCTTTAAGAAATCCTCTGTTTTTTATCAGCGTGCAATTTGCTTTCTTCTGTGGGCCAGCACCAGTCCTTCAGCCTCAGCTTTTGCAAACCATTTTAGCCTTTGCGTGGAGCTGTGCCCTTAGGGAACACAACAGAAAGAAACCAGTAATAGGACCAAGCTCTAAACCCTTTGAAGACTTCTTCAAGAAGGTTCAGGTACCCAAGAGATGATTTTTTTTTTTGAAAAAATGACTTAAGCTTTTCGCATTGAGTTTCTTAAAGACAGGTTTGACCATGCTTGGAAGCAGACCCTGCCCTACAGTCGTTGCACAGGCATCCATCAGCCTGAGTCTGACCCCAGGAGCACGGCACCAAGGTTCTCACTGAGCTCAGGACCATCTCTGGGGAGTGAACGAGCTGCACCTGCCTCATGCCTACAGAGCATGGATCTGGGGGTTATTAAAGGATTAAGAGAGGGACTGACACCCTGGGGCAACTGAGGTGTAAACGCTAGAGAGTGCAGTGAGCTATTTCCAAAGACTGGAGTGCTGCTGGAACAAATGGTTATCAACCAGCTGTGAATAAGCATCAGCCCACTGGAGGACTCCTAACCTCAAGGTTAAGGCTCAGGGAGGACTCAATGGCAACAGCTGAGGGCTGAGATGTGAGGGAGAGGCTGGTGAGCAGAGTGGGGGTGAGATTGAGTGATGTGTATTCCTACTTTTATGGTCCTTTGAAGCACACAAAAGGACGGTAGGGCACAGGATCAACACTGCTATCGACCCATCTAGCAAGGCATCTCAGCACAACTGCAAATCTCCACTCAGAGAAGACCAAGCACCGAAGAGCTGCCATCGCTCATGCTGGACCCTCAGCTACATAAAGGAGGAATCTGGTGAACTCCTCGCACACAACTGACCAAAACCCAGCCCAGGTGCTGGTTTGTGTCACTTGTGATGTGTCAGGACGTGAGGGACATACATCGTACTGTGGCATCAGTTCCTTGATGGCAGGAACTGAGCTGGCTTTGGGCATTGCCCTTTCCTTGCGACAAATAACCAGGAATGGGGAATTTTCCTCAGCAGTGCTGTGCCGTGAAGCAGGGCGGTCCTGCTAATCACTCACAATGAGAACACTTTTAAGACACAATAATGGCTTATTTAGAAACTCTTGCTGTAGGAAGTGTGCAGAAAGTCTGGATGAAAGATCAGTATCAAGCCACGTTCTCCCACTGAGCAGGTCCTGAAAAGTGCCTGGGCCAGGCCAAACGTTGGTTTGCGTTCACAGATCGCTGTTGGAGATTTCTTTCTTCTCTGCCTGCCCAGCTTGGATAGTGTGGATATCCATGAGCTCTTCTTTCTCTGTCTGAATCTCCACCTTGTTCCTCTTGGCCATGATCTTGTTAATTTCCATGAAGGTTTTGTTCTTCGTCTCAGGAACAACAAAGAAGATGTAAACCATGGTGACGAGGCATATGGCACAGAAAATGAGGAAGCAGTAGGCTCCCAGTCCAGCCTAGAGCAAGAAAAGAAGACTAAGCAAAGCCAAGGACAATACCCCAGATGTATACATGACATGATTTGGACGTGCTGAACCCTATATCACCTATGAAAGGCAACCACAGTGGTGTGCATGTACTGTAAGTTGAGCAACTGGAAGCTAGGGGTGGTTCTGGATTCTGTCTCCTGATATCACCACCATGGATTTAGTGGAAAAGGTCTGCTACATAAATCAAAGTAAACTCATCAGCTCCCCCTGCACAGGCTAAAATCAATCAATTTATGGGTCACTACTACTTGGGATCAGTCTGAACTGGTGACCTGCCAGTCAAAAGCTGCAGGTGGCTTTCTGAGATATCCACCCTGCTACGGAAAATGGGGAATTTGCTGTCTTTTCTGTGGTCCTGAATTGAGAATCAGACATTCATATGGGAAAATAACTTTATTTTAAAGCATTGCCCAACAGATGTGATCAAAGAACTGCTGATTAACATCACTTTGTTGCCCTTTATCTGTAATATCCGTAATCCTGCTTGCAGGTACTGGCAACCAACCTGGGCAGGCACAGTGCCCAGGCTTAAAAAGGCTCTCTGTAGGAACACAGGGGTGAAGATACTAATTTTAAGCTGAAGGCCTGCCCCAGCCCCTGCTCTTACCTCCATGTAGAGGAACAAGAGCCCCACAGCGAAGTTGCACAGCCAGTGCACGGACCCACCGACCATGAAGGCAGCCGGCCGGGATGACTGCAGGAACATCTCGGTGATCATCACAAAGGGGATCGGGCCTGGAAGAGAGTCGCATAATTGTAAATCCCAAAGGCAATCCCTCGCTCTGAATTCCTAGATTACATCGCTTATGTCAGTAGTTTACTAAACTACTCGTGTTTAGAAACGTCTGATAAATCCAAGAGGGAAATCAAACAAAAAGCAGGGCAGCTGGCTGACTTGCCTAAGCTCACACACAGCAGTCAGCCTCTTCTCTCTCCTATGGCTTTAACCACGAAAAAATTGTCAAGACTGATAAATGTGAAATGCATCTCCAGAGAGCATTCTACAAGCGGCATCTAAGCAAAGCAGTGCTTCTTAAAAATAGAAAAGAAAAAAAAAACACAGCATAAGCAGGTGCTGGAAAAACAGGTGTAGTGGAACAAGCCGCCAGGCTCGCTCACAGCACTGCCCCCTCTGTGAGGTGAGGGAGCAGGTACAGATAACGTTATCACAACAGGGGTCAGCATGGAGAAAAGAGAGGTTAAATGTAATTCCATCTACCAGTGAAACCTCAACAGGAGTCTCCAAACTGCATTGCTGCATCCACCAAGGACCTGGCCGGGCCTTCCACACTGAACAGGCAACTCGACTGCTTTCAGAAGCTGCCAGATCAGGCAACAGCCGTTCCAATATCCTCATCTACAACACCAACTCCTGGCTGCAAAGTGACCTGTAGTGCCACACATGTACTTCGAGTTGTTCTAATTCGATTTGTTGCCCGTAGATGCAAGCATGCAGAATCTCTGCCCAGCCGCTGGGACTCAGCATCTCAGCACAGCTTTGCTCCAGATCTAACGGGTGCATCCCAGGTATGATGAGCACAACCATGCCTTGCTTTTCCTCTTGAAAGCTGGATGCTCCCCTGCCCGTGGACAGGGCCCGCTGAAGCATAAATCGAGCTGTCAGCAAGGTGCATGGCTGCACAGGGGAAATGCAATCTCCTTGGATCAGCCCCACCAAGCTTTTGATGCGAAGTTCAGCATAATACTTGACTTAAACCAAATTGCAGAAAAGACTGGGCAAGGTTATGTGTACTTACTGGCTCCAATAGCGTGTCCAATGATGTAAAGAATGACACACACTATGCTGAGGTAAGACATCCAGGAGACGGTGTTCTGTGAAGGATTTAATCACAGGTTAGAGCTGGGTCCTGCCTGGAAGTCAGCAACACACACAGGGCACTGTTCACAGTAAGATTTGAAGGATTTTCTAAAGCAGTGTCCTCCTCTGTTCCCAGCTATGCCCCACAGACATACCTAGCCACTAAGCACATGGTCCATGTAGGATCTTTGCTTCCAACAGATGGATGCAAAGGTATGAACACGATGTGCTGGGAGAGGTATCCAGCCAAGCAGGACTGTAGCTCTTGTTGGGTTTACTTTAGGCAGATCTACAAGTACTGAGATCTTCTGTACTGCCCCCCTCCCAGAGTGCAGAAACCAGTCCAAAAAACACCAAGAATTTGTTCCCCAGTAAGTCCCAGGACAGCCCCACTGAGCCCCCCAGCCACACACCTGGAGGTTGAGGGCCAAGGTCAGCACCGCACAGGAGCCACAGCACAAGCCAAAGCCAGCGAGGAGGAGGATTCTCCTCCCTAAGGACTCCACGATGAAAACCTGAAAGAGACAGAAAGGGATGAGAGACCAGATCCCCGGGGCACAGCACGTCATTCCAGCAAATGTTATTAAGGTGGTATTTAGCAAGGGACCATGCAGAACACGTACTGCACGAAGCATCTCATGGTGTAAGTGACAACCTGGGTCACACATCGTGAGAGCGGACAAGTGAGAACCCAAAGAGCCCCAGCACTTACAGCGAGGCAAGTCATGACGACGTTGATGGCACCTATGGACACGGTGACATACTGCACGTTGTTGGTTTCCACACCTGCTGACAGGAAGATCCTGTCCGCGTAGTAGAAGACCTGCGGCAAAAAACCACAGCTGTGTTTATATGTGGCCAAAGGCAGAGCACAGGAACCCCATCTGGGCTCCTTCTACCTCCTGGAACTGGTGCACAGGAACCCCCAAATTATTGCAGTACTGGAGATGTTGGTGTTTAAATCCAGGAACAAGCATCTTACTCCAAAAATATCCAAACCATCCTTGCAGGATGCTGGACTCTGGACCACGTGCGTGCTTGGCTTGGCACTGGCCAGGGTGAACTTCCCATAACATCTTACAGAACCAATGTCCCTGATGAAGGGGGTACTTGTGTATCTCGTCCCGTTACTGCTCACCCCTCTGCCTCCCCACTCACCGCATTAACCCCCGAGAGCTGCTGGCCCATCATCATGACAATAATAGAGATGAGCTGCCATCGCAAGCCCCTGAAGGTGCAGAGGGTGAGTACAGACATCTGTCCTTCTTCCTTTTCTGACTGGTCTTCGAGGCGCATTTCTTCTATCTCATCATCCACATCATCCCAGCCTCTCAGTCTCTGCAGGGCTAGTTGGGAGAGGAAGGTGAGTTACGGACCCCAGAAAGCTCCCTTGCTTCCAAACACAGCAGCACAACACAAACCATGGGCAGCAGCAGCAGTGCTCCCAGTTAGGGATTCACATAAACAGAGAAAAAAGCAAGAATCCCATCCACCAGCAACACATCAGTGAATAATTTCACACTCTCCTGCTTCACTGTTGGCTGCTGTCAGCCACATCCCACAGCCAGACTTATCCCCTTCCGCCTCCCCTTCCAGTAAAGGATGGTGCTGTACCTTGTCGTGCTTGCTCTTCGTTGCCCTTCTGTATCAGCAGATATCTGGGACTTTCAGGGAAAAAGGGCAATGTGAGGAGCTGAATTACTGATGGGATCCCCGTGAGCCCCAGCATCACAGGCCAGTCTGCAACAAACGTGACAAGATGCTGATGACTAGGAGAAATCTTTCCCCAGCAGAGCCCACAGAAAACTTCCCAAGCCAGGATTTTACCTTCGGCATTCCCAAGGATGCTGTGGAGACCAAGGATCTGAGCTATGAGGATCCCAATGGTGATGAAAAGCTGGGGCACAACCCCAATGGCACCTCTCAGATTTTTGGGGGCCATTTCTCCCAGGAACATGGGAACCACGTTGGAGGCCAGACCTGGCAGGTAGAGAGCAATGTTAGTTATGCAGCTTCCCGACCTCAGCACGCTGAGCAAAGTGTTTTTAGGAGCCTGAGAAGACTGGGAGGAGCTCTCCTACAGAGCTGGCAGACAACGTGGGGGCTCTCAGTGTCCCTTCTTCACCTTCCTCAAAGCAGCTCCCTCCCAACACGGGGTGCAGAGGACTTCCATAGAAGACACGCAGAGAAACTGGGCGTGCTGCTTCCCATTTGGAAACACAGTCAAAAGGTAAGGGAGGATTTGCCACTTCCTTTCAGCAAGAAATCAGTACTCAAACAAGCTGATTCAAGGGTGGCGGGATGGGACCCTTATTTGCTCCTAGAAATTCACAACTCCATTAATTGCTCTGTAACAGTTGGCAGAGAGCATTGATGGGCTGAGATTTCTCCTACAGGTAGGATGCTGGAGCAGGTGTTCCTGTTCCACCAGCACACTGAGGACAGGTTGTTTTACAGAACACAGCACTGTTAGCTGCAGTAACCCCCGAGAGCTGCCAGCTCCCATACTTTGGCTGTAAATCTTGGCATGCAAACCCTAAACTCCTGAAGTCAAATGACCAAACCGCTCTTATCTTCCATTGCTAACAAAGTTCCTAGCATTCACACACTTGGGGTTAGAAAGGAGTTCAAGATGTTATCTGAAGGCCAAAAGGCATAGAAAAAAAATACTAACACAACTAGAGAACATTGTAAAACTGAATTCAGGATGTGTAGTGTCTGATGTTGGCACTACAACCATCCTTAAAAAACAAAAAAAAAAAAACACGCTAGCAGTTACTTGTAGTCCAGTGCGTTCAGTTAATGGCGGCTTTTTAACTGTTCAAAGCTATGCTGATCAAGCCCTGCCACAGAGGGGCTCTCGATGGTGCTCCCAGCACCAAAACTGCCCCTTTTGCTGGGGGGAACCGTGCCTGGATCCTGAGAGAGCCCGAAGCTGGCTTGGTCCAGCAGCTTCCCTTCCCTCCCCATAGGCAGCCTTCCCACTGCAAGGTCAGGACAGCCAGTCCCAACTCTTCTGTCAGCAATAACTAGCTGAAAGGAGGGATCCCTCTTTGCAGATCCCTCTGTAGCAGCTCAGAAAAGCAAAGCTAAGAGCAGCAGACAGGCTTACGAGAGTGAAAAGTCAAAACAAAACCAGCCAGACCAGACATATCCTGCCTTACCTCACTGGTTGCAATCGCGTGTTATAGATAGCATTGTTTTCCTGTGCCAGTTTGTTTTCTCACTTTATCCACAGAGGATATCCGAACTCACTAATAAATCATGGAGCACGTCAGCTTCGCTAAGCCAAAGCCAATTACTCAGGTCCGAATGTTGTCAGGACACTTATCAGCCTGCCTTGGCAGGAGCCCAGCACAGCAGCACGTGGGGCTCCAGCCCTTTGACACTTCCTTGGTCCACGTTACTGCAGCTCCAGCACCTCACAGCCCTCCCCTGGGCTCCCCAAGAGCCTTGCAGTAAATCCTGTGGCCCTGCACCCTTAAATATTTATTTTCCTCTGCAAGATCAACCAGTTTCAGGAATGGATCTGGCATTGTCTTCAATGACTTGGGCTTGGAAGGATTACTCTGGTTTTTATTATGTTTAAAAAGAAAAAAAGAAAGTGCCAGCCTATCTGCTTTAAGATGTCTGGGAAAACTGATTATCAGCAGCAGGTTTCCTGGCTGATGGTGCCCCGGAGCCAAGCAGACGCTGCCTGTGGAAGGCAGCTGCAGCTACAGACACCTCCTCTGTGCAGCCCAAACCCCAGCCCTACTGCCCCTGCCTATTAGAGGTCTCTGATGCTTCTGCAAACTGCAGATGAGAACCATTATTCAAGCAAGTGCAGAACTGCTATGCAATTGTATGGCTAAAATATGCTACCTGTGAAGCCATCTGTTGGGGAAAAAAACCTTTACATAGCCAAGAATATCATATTGTTGCTCTCCTTTCACCATCCAACCTCTCACTTACCAGCATAAATCCCCATGATCACACGTGAAATGATGATTACTTCAAAGGTTTTGGCTATCTCTGAGGTTCCCATAAGGATCGCAGCAGCAATGGAGAAAAGGTTGTTTATCAGCAGGGTGCCCTTTCTGCAAAGTCATGGAGAGACAGACAGAAATCAGCTTATTTTGCTAAGGAAGCTGCTGGGCCAATATCAGATAGACCCTCCCCTGGGTTACGCTGCCCAAAACTCAAAGGACTTGCCATCCCAAAGACTAGCCAAAGAGAAAATGGGGATTGTCTCATTTTCCCTGCAGGGAATGAAGAGCAAGCTCAGGAAACCTGAGCAGCTGGGGCTGGAGCTGCACCCAGCTGCACCCAGCTCCCAGGGCTTTCCCCGTGGCTGTCCACCTGGCTCAGGTCCCAGGGTGGCCTTGACCATCCCAGAACCATATCAGCTCTTCTACAGGTGAGACACCACGTTCCCAAGCTGCTAATCACCACCCCATCTGCTTTAGGACCGGAGTGGCGTGATGCAGCTGAGCTTCTGATGAGCTTGGCGAGCTGCAGGGACCGGTGGGACGAGCTTTATCTAAACCCAGCGAGCTGCCCCAGGAGGGCGTTCCCCACCTCTGTCACGTACCGGCCGCAGTTGTTGACCAGAGGCCCCACCATGAGGGACCCGAAGAAGCCACCCAGAGGGTACATGGACACGGTGAGAGACCAGAGCAGCGTCTGCAAGTTCTTGTCCATGAAGACCCCATACCTGTCCGTGTAGGTTTGGTTGTAGAAGTCTTGCATGTACTGGAATGAAACGCAGAGCAGGGTTAGCAGTATGCAAAGCATCCGTGTTGTGAAAGCCCAGATCAATCAGTGTCAAACAATCAATGCCATAAAACCTTAAACAAATGCCTTGATAAAACCAGAATGGCTGAGCTGGAAAACAAATGCAAGAGAGGGTTGCAACGGAGAAGCCTGGATTAGATAAGATTAGATAAAAGTTAATGCAACTTATCCCACCTTGTTAGTTTTAACACAAATTAAGCTGCCTGACTGGAATTGTCTGCTTCCTAGAAGGGAAGACATTCCTCGTGCCCCATCACTGCTGGGCACGGAGCCCTACCGGCCACGTTGCAGCCTTAACACAGCCACTGCCAGGTGGTTCAACGTGGGCAGCAGTGTGAGCACCTTAGACAATGGGCATCTGCCCACAAAACACCTGTAATCTAGTTCTTCTTCCACTTTGCTGTTTATAAACCTTCTCTTAGGTCATGGTCTGCAGTCCAACCTACCGGGGCTGGAGAATTGATCACAGACACGTTGTAGCCGTACTGGAAAGATGATCCGAAGGCAGAGATCAGCGTTACCAGCGCAAGGGTAAGCGTCATTTTCTGCGGAGAGAACACACAAAGAGCACCTCAGAATCAGGTTTGGCTTTCAGGCATAAATGTCCCTCTGTAAAAATACAGCAATATCTTCAAGACCTGCCTTCTGTGTTTTTGGCTTCGTGTTACCCTACAGAGAAAGCCCAGTGGGTTGTTTTTGTTGTAACTCACTTTGTTCTGCCTGATTTGCACATAGTCATTACAGTAATTCACTCTACTGCCCTTTCCCAGCATTGATGGATCATGTGGATGATAAATAATTTTGATGTTATCATGCTTAAAATACCACCCCCCAGGGAAAAAAAGAATTTGCACGCAATTATTCTTTTTTTGCAACATGCAAATTGGTTAGTGACATAAAGCAGGATGCTGGCATAGGGAAGCTTTAAAAAGATGGGGTTTCGCATGAAGTGGCAAAAATCCTTTTCCTAGTCATTTGCTCTGCTTTCACAGGCTGGATCACTCTGCTCCCCACATTTCAGGATCGAGCTGGTTATCCAACCACCACCAAAGCCAATGACAGCTTGGCCAAGTAGCTCAGTGAGGGCTTGGCAGCCAAACAGAAGGGCAAAATCACCACCCCGAGCAGAATTGCACACCAGCCCCGTCTGTACACACACAGTCCTCAGGGTTACCAGCCGTGTGAGCAATTTAGTTGTAATTCCATCCGTTGGCTGGAGAAAGCCCTACGTTATTGACTAAGCTGTTTTTTTGTTTGTTTTATAGCTCACTAATGTGTCTCATATCTGCTGCAGCAATAAAACTGCTTTTCGTTCAGACGCATACTGTTTTCTGGCAACATTTGCAAGTTTTTTAATGTCCTAGCGCTCAGCCCAGCTCTTCCATGGGGGATCTGACATGGCCCTAACCATGACAGCTATGTCCAAATAGCTGCCGGTGCTCCTTGTAGCCCCCAAATTCTCCAGAAGCTCTGACAGCTCCCCTGCAGAGATCTGCACGTTAAGGGACTGCAGGAGACTGAAACTCAAGGCAGGGTCAGGAGAAAGCTGAGGCTTCCAGCAACACTTTCTAGTACCAGACTGTTGACTCTTGCAACAGCAGTGAAAAGCAGACTGCCTTGCTGTCATTAAACAAATCCCCGGAGCTTAGAAGAGCCGCTTACATTAATTATACACATGCTGTGCTTTTAGGAAAGCCCCTGGCACGCAGGAGCACCGTGTTGTGCAAGAACCTACGGACACACTGCTGCGGGAGGCAGCCCGATCCAGAAATATCCACAGCCTGAAAATGATCAGAAAGTAGGATAGAAAACTTGCAAGAGTAGGATAGAGAAGTTGTGCACAGAAAGGGAATCTCACCCCAAAGTTGCACGACAGGTCGGCTGCAAGGAGTGAGTTATGGGGGCAGTGCTATGCTGCAGAAAAACTGGGTTTGGGAACATAAACATCCCTGCTCTGCCTCCGAGACCAGCTGTGGCTATGTAGCCCAACAGATTCGTTCTTCCACCACAAACCTTCACTCCTCCAAACCCGCTCTGCATCTCCAGGGGAGGCAGCAGTGGAAGCAGAGTCCGCTCACTTACCCCCTTCGTGCCTTCCTCCGAGTCGGAGCTCTCCTGCTTATCCTTGTTCGGCTCCATGTTGGGCTTTGAACCACAGATGCTGAGTACGGACTTTTATAGCCAAAACAGATGACACGGGATGGAAACGCCCTGCCTGGACAGAAAATCCCTCCCGTGACTTTCAAGGAAGTATCCAATCCACGGCCAGCAACATCAGCCCAAGCCCGAGCTGGCTACTGGGTTTCCAGTCCTGCGCGTCTTTTTGTCTCCTCTCCCTTCCCTCGTTCAAGTCTGTCACCGCTCTCAGGTGTTCCTGTGCCAGCTCCAGACTCAAAATAGAGCCCAGCTACAGGGGAAACATCCTCATGTGCCCAATGAGGAGGAGCAGGCTTATCACCAGAGCTGCTGGAGCTGTTCGCTGCAGCACAGGTATGTGGAACAGATGGGGCTGTGGCAGGAGAGCTGCTGCTGCTCCACGCTGCACCTCCAGCACAATCGGAGCTTCACCGCTGCCTGGTGACCACATTCCAGGAAAAAAAGGGGTGTTCCATGGGAGCATGGCCCCTAAAGGGCTTCTGCTGTAGGACAGTGATAAACCTGGACCGCACATCTACCCCTGAGCAGAAACACCGCGCCTGGTCCCACCCCGCACAGCCCACCTCCCTCGGGGCACTCCTACAGGTTGCAGGTTTTTCCTTCTTGGGCTTATTTCTGACAGTGCACAGAACATGCTGTTTGTACAGCAAAAGCGTGTTAGTTTTCTTTCTACACACAAGGTGTAGCACGCCGCCGGCTTAGCATTAACCACTTACACGAGGAGGCTACTTCGAACAGCACAGGACTGAATTAATGATTAACTACAATTTCTACCATTGATCAGCAAAATGCAAAGTTCACAGATACCCCTGGCAGCCAGAGCAACTGGAACCAAACCGCGTTGTTATTGGGCTGTCTTTCTTCATCACCCAGATCAAAAAAAAAATGCACCTCTTGAGTCTGAGGTGTTCATGCGACCTGCATGCATGCCTCGAGTGGCCACAGCCTCCCTCCTGTGCGGTGAAGTCATCGCACACAGAACCTACACTCAGCATTTTTTTTCTCTTTTGCGTGTCCTTGATTGTCTTTTTTGCACCCATTAGTAATTTTTCCCAGGAAGAAGTTTTGCAGGGCAAAGACCATATGATAGAAATAGAACAGCAAGATGACAGCTGCTGATAGATTTGGCTTTTTCCACATCCTCAACTCCAACCCTCAAGGGATTGTCTTTGGTTTTTAAAATAGCTTTGTTACTATTTACTCCGAAAAACTACCTAATTAGTCTAAGTCGTGGCCTCAAAGAAACTAAATCCAGTAAGAGCTTAACATCTAGAAGCCAAGTGCTTCACAAGCAGTTCTATCAAACGCCTTTAGTGTTGGTCATCTGTAACACTGACAGGTGAAATTCAGTGAGGTAATCCCATTCATGAGCCACAAGGCAAATAATATTTTTAAGAAATCACAGAGAAACAAGGATTGAAAGAGAGATGGGAAAAATACCTTCAGCAACCAATTAATGGAGAGACCTGAGGGGAGAGCAGGAATGGATTCAGAGAGAACAATGCTGCAGGTTCTCGTTGAGCATCACAAGAACCTGCATCCTGCAGCCACCTCTGCCAGAGGAATCCTGGTCAGGACCAGAAATAGAACACCTTTAAGCGTGCGATTTTGGAAGTGCAAACACTGCTCAGTGATCCAGAGTGAGCACAGTAAAGCACTGCGGTGAGTAACATCACGGTTAGCCAGGGCTGGTAATTGCTTTGGCTCATTAGAGAACAAGACGAGAGAAAACATTGAAGAATTCCACATTAAAACTTGGATTTGTGGGCAACATGAACACACGAGGAGAGCAAAAAGGCTTCTTCTCTGCATTACTGGATGACACAGGAGGTCCCTGTGGGAAGCTCATGCAGCCATCCTATTTCTGCAGATATCCCAAACTATGTGGATGCCACCAGGTCTGCTGCCCTTCCTCGAGCCCCAAAATTTTGTCTTCCAGGAGCTCCGCAGCCAGCAAGGCAGCCAGGGCAATGCCCGCACAGCGAGGGTGAAGAACGACGCCAGGCACTGGCATCAGGAATGTTCAGTTTTACACAAACCTTGGCTGATTCCAGTTAAAAATCACAGGTAGTCTTTATAAAAACAAAACAACCCATTACCACCGAACAGTGGCTGAATAGCACTGGCTGCTACTTAAATATATCATTTCATATTTTTTGGTGGGGCAAGAAAAATCAAAGGCAGCTAAATACATACTTTTTCTTTCTTTTCTTTTTTTTTTTTCTCCCCATGGCCAAAAGAGCAGATTGCAGGTCTTCTTTCTCAGGTTTATTTCTGACAGTGCACAGAACATGTCATTTTTGCAGCAAATCATATTAGTTTTCTTTCCACACACGGTGTACCACGCTGCCGGCTAAGTATTAACCACCTACACGAGGAGGCTACTTTGAACAGCACAGACTTGGTTAACAATTAACTACAATTCCTAAAGTTTATCAGCAAAACGCAAAGTTCATAGATTCCCCTGGCAGCAAGAACAACTAGAACGAAACCACATTGTTATTGGGCTGTCTTCAGCACCCAGCTTAAAAAATGCATCTCTTGAGTCAGAGGTGTTCACGCGACCTGCATGCATGCCTCAAGTGGCCGCAGCCTCCCTCCTGGGTGGTGAAGTCACCCCACACTCAGCATTTTGTTGGGTTTTTAAGTCCTTGAATACCTTTCACTTTTTTTTTATATGAGGTATTGTAAAAGATGAGATGAATCAGAGCAGAAAGTGCTGGTCAGGAGTGGTCCAGCTGCTCAGATGATGCTGGTCAGGTTCCCACTGTGCTTCCACGATTACTTGCTGCAGCTGCTTACATGAACGCTACGATGCTGGTGGCAGTAGGAATTGATCTGTGTAGCCCTTTGCAGGGGTGGACACACTAACTAGGTGTCAGCTCAAACTGCAAGCACAGCTTGCAAAGCCTGTCATAAGAAAAATTGGCAAGAGAGCCTGCCCTAAAAATAGGAAGGGGAACAGAGCCCTGCTGCTTCGGGGAACAGAGCCCTGCTGCTTCGGGGCAGTGCGACTCGGTCCCTAGACTTGTTGTCATTTGTCCCTTCCTGTTTTTTTGTAAGCCAACAACCTAAAGACACTGTTTGCTTGGAGATCGTGATAAATTGGAACCCACAGGACCCACATAGCCCACTCAGTAGTTTTCTGATGGAAACTATTCTCAGTGGCTCACATCCCAAAAGCTTGCTCATGCATCATGGCCCTACATATCCCTTGGGGGCCTTAATTGAACAGAGATGCAAACCAGAATATTCATTAGCTCAAAAACTCTCATCCTGCCTCAGCATTCCCGTTGAGGGATTACAGCTAGCTGGCACCAACAGGGACACTTGGAGCTAACTCAGCTTTTCACGTTACCTTCAAAACCCTTCAAAGTACCCCAAAATAAATGGGACAGGTTATAGCTCACTCATAGATCTTGGGTCAGAAGAGGGAAAAAGCTTCATAGGTGACTCGCTCTGCCCCATAGCTGGGGAATTCTGAAGGACAAGCTTCTCATGAAAAACCTCTGCTTTTTGAAGCCAGTGTCATTCTTCTGGGAGCTCTTGGCAGGCAGGCAGCCACTCCAATATCCAGTGATCATATGAAAGACGACATCTGTCATGGTTTATAAACTCTTTCTCTGAGTTTGAAGAAATAACCTTGTTATAGACAGAAATCAAACAGGACACGTATTTGCCATCAGAAATCCTTCATCAGAGAATAAATATTTGCTTATGACAGTAGAACACTTTGAATATTTGCCAATCACAGCAGGAGTCTGGCAACAACCTCCCTGAGGTGGTAATTGGCCCTGAGCTTGGGAGATATCAATGAAGGAGGACAGGATTGTGAACAAACTTCTCCTTGAACTTTCGCAGTAATTGCAGGGAAATAACGATTGCCTCCAATTGCTCAGATCCCGTTGGACTTGAGCAAAGAGCAGAGCCAACTTCACAGGAATTTTACAGGCACTTTTCTCATCTCAGCTGCTGCACATATTAAGCTTCTTACATCTGCTAGAGCACGGAGTGCATTTGCCTGGAGGCATTAACCCAGCTTTGTTATCTTCTCTCCTCTGCGCTTGTCCACTGCATGATGAGCTCCCATGCAAGCACGCAGAGAACTATTTACGACCAGCTCAACTGTCTGCGCCCAGAGCTGGATCCTACAGAGCCCTGCCATCTTTGGCAAGAGGGGGCAAGCATAATTTAGAGGTGAGGCTTCGTTTCCAGGAGAGTAAATCTGCTGGAGACAGATGCAGCCGAGTGCATCAGCAGCGAGCAGTGGAAAAGCTGTGGTTAGGTTAGAGGCTGGTGATGCTGCTGATGGCAGTGCCTGCGGTAAGGAGCCTCATTAGCAGACACCCCGCAGCACAACACGCCCAGGGACTGATACTGGCAGCCTTTTCACCTGCTCCTTGGGAAGGAACTGCATGTGTAGCAAGGCTAAATCAATATCAAACACAGCCCTGAGCTACTGGCGAGACTGTAATTTAGGTAACAAGTGATTTGCCTGCAGACGAGTTGTATACAGGCAGTGCTTTATTAGCTGCATCCATGGCTTCCAGGCAATTAAGCAAGAGGCAGACATGGCAGCCTGAATGCCTACCCTGGGTGCTGGATGAAACAGGCACATCCTGCAGATAAACACTGACACACAAGGAGCTCTACAACTCCGAGGTAATCAAGACCCTGTTTCTGCTGCACAAGGTAATACCGGGTAGCATCCTTCTCTCCTTTCCACAGCTACTGTCGAAGGCTATCTCAGCAGAGCCACAATCACCCACACATCCCCCAAATAAGCACAGAGGAGCAGGCAGGTCTGTAAACTTACCGTGTCACGCCCTGATAAGTTGGACTGGGAACCGTCTGGTCCTTTCTCCATTGGCATGGCTGTGAGATGCAGCAGATGCTTCGGGAAGTGTTGGAATGCCCGGACATTAAAGCTCCACCTGCACTTCGTTCAGCAGAAGCACCCGACCATTCAAAATACCCCCGCTGCCCTCTTGGACCTCAGTGGGTTCACTTTTCCGTGCAGGACAGAAGCACTGACTATGCCAGCCAAGACCTGCCTTTTGCCAGCTCACGCCACCCTGCATCGATTCCTGTGGTTCCCTGTGGGTTTGCAAGGACTGCAAGACTTGGGGAATTCATTCAGCCCAGCACAAGAGACATCCTTGCTGCTTCTGAGTAGCAGAAGTGATTTGTACAATGCAAATGTTTGCTTTGGCAGCATTAGAGCACTCAGGTCTCATCTCCAGAACTGTTCTTCCTCTTGAGGAGAGGAGATAGTAGTGACACAGCCAGAAATTAGTTTTCCAAGCTCTTCTGCTTTCAGCAACAAGAAATTCATCCTCTGCTTGGAAGCAGATGGTTCATTAAACCCACAAGCTCCAGGTTTCCCAAAGTGAAAGGCTGCCTAAACCCTCCCACACTGCAGAACCCCTGGCTCACTCCTGGAGCCAGGGATCACCTTGCACAATTAGACTCACGTCTCGTGAAGAGAAGAAAAGAAAAGGAGGAATGGTATTTTGCAATGACCAAACCAGTGCCAGCAGATGAATGCAACGGTGAGGGGTGAACTCACCAAGGTCTAACTCACTCCTGCCTCAGGAAGCAGTGTGGGCAAGCACCCTGCAGCCACTACAGCTTTTTGTTCTTTATTCCCCTCATTTCAAAGTTTGTTGTCGTATTCCATCCGATCTGCCCCTGCATCCCACACCTGCCTCCTCCACACAGACCCCTCTCCTCCACTCTGAGGGTTCATTGCAAACTAGTCCTTAAAATTTTGTTAAGAGCTTTTTGTGAGCTCCAAAGCCCCCCCAGGATGGTTACTGGAAGCCAGCACACGGCTCCCGTCCTTCATTCTGCCCCAACCCCAGCTCCATGCACTGGAGCACACTGAGCACAGGAGCTCCAAGGGGCCAAAAGACATCACAGTATAGAGGATAAACTAAAAGACAACCCTTGACATACAAGATAACTTTTTTTCAAAGGCTTGCAATGCAGACACAAGGCAGGGCGTTGATGCAACCCCCCTGACAGAGCAGCCAAAATACCTCAAGGGGTTTTCAGTCACTTCTACCACTGCAGAACAAACACCTTTCCCTCTGCTTGCTCTCTGCAGCATCCAGGCTCGGTTTCCTCGCCTGCCATGCAGCAGGCCTCCAGCAGAGAACATTTTAGGATCAACCACTTAAATTTGGGGCACAGCTATAAGCCACAGAGCAGCAGATACCTCACATGGGAAGCATTGTGCAATCAATCAGTAACACAGACTGTTGCTCAATCAGTTCTGAATATAGCCACGGGCCAGCACCACTCCTTGCTCCAGGGCCCCGGCTGCTTCGAGCTCTGTAAAATGGCCAAAGTTTTAATCTGAGTAAAGTTCATTCACAGCTGTGAATGCACGGCGACTTACACAGCACTACTATTGTCAGCCTGCCCATTTTTGCCATAAAGACTTGAATTTTCTCTATTTGGGCAAGCCCTGGGAAAGCTCCAGCCGTGCCCAGCATTAGTCCCACCTACCTTACAGCATGGCCTCATCTGGAGAAAAATTAATTGGTAATCTCACGATTAGGTAACATTTGTGATCTCACACAGCTGGAGCACCACAGCCTGTAAGGTCAACAGAACTTATGGGAAACAAGTCCCACACACTGTTTTTTCCACAGATCATAGCAATAAGCTGGGGGAACTGAACATAATGTATAGCAGTGGACAGGTTTGCTCAGACTGATTGAAGGTTTACATTTCTATATGTATAGAATGATAGGAAGAGATATTCATTTATGTATCAGTAGAAGAGATTTGTCTTCTGACACATGCCTTGGCCAGTCTTTAGGCCAGACACACAAGAAACCTGAATACTGACCTCACGACAGCCCCTCACCCAAATCCTTCAAGGCACCGAGAGGCCTGTCACAACATGCTTGAACAACATCTCGGTAAAGAAACGGAACTTTATTTTGTAGAAGTTGGAGAAAATATTTAAAAAAAAACACAAGCAAGGGAGGAGCTGTAAATAAATTAACGCAGTATCTTCAACCAACAAACCGTCCCCTCCCTGGCCCTGATACAGCACTCCCGGGACAAACACTCCCAGGACAGGAGCAGGCCATGGGCTGTGCTATGGCAGAGGCTGGCTGGAGGCCAGCACGAGGCCAGCACGTGCCAGGCACCCTCCTGTGGACGGTGAGGGCCGTCCTCACTGGAGGCCGGGCTGCTGAGCCCAGGTGCCCCTCGGCACCAGGAGTCTGCGGAATTGAGATATCCCCAGGAGGCAAAAAGCATGCAGCTGCCACGCACCCTGGTGATGATGATGACCCCTGACCACCAAGGAGGAATAAAACGTGAAGAGGAACCATCCATCGCCACCAAACAAATGAGTCTGCACGCCGTCGTCTGTATTCAAGTGAAAAATGGGAGCCAGGTCAGAGCTCCCTGGGAGGCCTCACACCTCAGGACTGAAACCCGTGCCAGGACAGTCCCATCCAGCAGCTACTACAGTTTCCCTATCCCCCTATTAGTTGACCCCAGAACTCACAACAACATCTTTGCCCTGTCAGACAGAAAAGCAAAACCCCAAACAGTTTTAAAATTTATGGTGGAGGGAGAGGAGAAGGAGGGAAGAAATCCAGGAGGCTGGAGCGCAGCCAAACAGCATCTTCCAGAAGATCCTGAGTGAAGTTCAGGACCACCGCAGCTGGGATCTGCACGTCCAGGACTGGGACATCTTCATTTTCCTCGGCCACTCCAGCGGTGCTTCTCCCCAGCCTTTAGCTCCCTCTGTGGGACTCCGGGGTGATCCTGCACCTGCACAACATGAAGCACAGTTAAAATCCCAAACCGTACCCTTCTTCCTGCACCAGGGTGCACAGGTTTGCTCTGGGGCAGGACAAGAGGCCTGCTGCAGGGGGCATCACCCTGCAGAAGCTGAAAACAGGCATGGGGGAAAACAGGCTCAGAATCAAACTTCTCCAGCCCACGCCCAACAGGGAAGGCTTCAGACCTCTTCCCAGACAGCTGATGCTGCAGGGAGCGCTGCGCTCCTACACTTCATGCCAAGACTAAAGGGGACCTGCCAGGAGCAGCCACGCATTTCTGCAGCCCACCACAGACCCTTCCTCTCCCGTTATCCCATCCCTGCTTCTATTTAGGCTGTGATCAGCTGCAGTGTTAGAAACTACAGACACTTCTAGGAACCTCTCCGTTGGCTGTTTTTACTTCTCTGGCCTTGCCTGCATGAAGGCTTCTGTCAGAGATTTTCCACTTGTATCAGCACAGGTGCTGTTGCCAATAGCTGATCTTCACGAACCAGCATGCTTCCCCGAACCCCGAGGAGCAGGGAATGTTACTCTGTCAAGCTGCACATTGTTCCAAAAGCATTTCTCAGCACTCTGCTGTTATGGAAAAAGGGAAATTGAGAACAAGGAGTCTTTTTTGATTTTGTTGGCTTTGCTTTCCCCTGCTCCTTCAGCCAAGTTGGTGACAATTCTACCATCTCTTCAGGGGTGGCTCTACAAAAATGAACGCAGCACAATTCTAAGTCTTGTAACATTTAAGATTTACTATCCTGCCTTTCTGCAAGAACAGTTTTTAATATAGCTCCTCTTTCAAAGCCACATGGGGTTAACATAAGGTTGAGCTACCAAGGTTGCTACTTAGCTGTTAGAAGTTTTAAAAGAAAAAAAACTTCTGAAAGCAGGCAAAACTTCTTGAAGTCATCTATACCAGAGATAAAAGATGCTTGCATCTAGCCTTCAAAGGCTCTGGGGATGCTAAAGAACTGAGCCCCTCTCCAGCCCCATGAAATGGGCTAATGAGCCCTTGAGGACTCCACCTTCCCAAGCCTACACAGGTCTTGTACAAGAGGGCTCAGATGTATTCATATCTTAATGAAGTTATTTCCTGAAGTGAAGACTTGGCGTTAAGAGGACTCACCTCTGCCTAGTCCCATGAGGTCACTGTACCATGCAGTTTGTTCTGCATGTTGTTAAGGTGACTAAAATTAAAGTAGTGTGAGCAGGTTTGGAACAGCTGGGTGTCTGGAGCAGTGGGAGCCTGGCAGCTGCCGTCCCTCCCCAAGCGATTCCTGAGCCTTCTGCTCTTTCTGAAAAACCTTGTTATACAGATTAAAAAGAACTGTTTATTGATTTTTAAAAAATCTGCCTGTTTTTTTTTTTTTTTTTTTTTTTTTTTTCTTCTCTCAGGCTTTGTGGTCTGGGAGGACCAAACCAGAAATATGTCAGAGTGGTCCAAAGACCTACAGTACATCCCCCCAAGCCTCCTCTCCAGGCTGCAGCTGTTCCAAACTTGCTCTTACCAGTTTAATTACTACCTTTAGCTACACAAGAGTGCTATCAGAATCTGCCTCAGGCAGAAGCCCACACAGAGCCCCGGCCCCAAATGCTTCTGTTTGGATTTAATCTGAAACTCCTGCATGTTCTGCAATTATCACTCATTAGGTCAAGCCCAAGGAATCAAGACACTTGCACAGACGAAATCAAGCGCATTATCCAGTGTCAAACCTTGTACCTCAAGTCACAAAGAACTGATGCCAAGGTTGGGCTCCTGCAGATTTCTTACATAAACCCGCATGAGTCACCAACCCGCAGTCCCCCGTTGTGATAAATGGCAGCAGGGATTGGATTATGGTACCAGGAACACTTCGGGCACTAAATGCATCTGAACTGTGCAGTACTGAAGACATGCACATGTCATCCCTACAGACAGGGAACCCATACAACAGGAGGAGAACCCTACCCCGCAGGGGAGCCCTTCCACCCCAACTGCAGCTCCCCAGTTCTTGCACTGGGTCCCAAAGTGGTGTAAATGCAGCTTACCCAGAGAGATGAGGTCAGTGCAGAGCTGTGGGCAGCGCAGGCTCAGGTGCTGGAAAGCAGAGGTTTCGTCCGCTCAGGGTCTGGCACATCCTCGCTCCCAGCAGGATCTGGGCGCTGTCGGGTGCTGCTCGACCTTGTTGAAGGCCAACCCGAGTCATCATAGTGGCAACAGCACAGAGAGGAGAGCAGGCGAGCCCGGACCACGCGCGTACAGAGGACGAACATAATGCAGTTGGCACCTCCTTGGAACGTGTTCCCGATCCCCTGCAAGGGGGCAAGAAAGGAATTAACCAGTGCCGTTTGTACCAACACTTCCCCCATCCAAAACAGCAAACGTCAGGTGAGACCAGCTGTAGTGCTGTCAGCAACTTCCACCTAAGCGAGTGAAACAGAGGAAAAAACAGTCTCACACCCCAAAACAGCACCGGCTGCTGTTGTGCCGCTCCTGCAGCCTGGTCTGGGTGTGGAGCAGGCTGCCCCTGCTCCAGGACAGGCACCCAGCTTCTCCTACAAGCAGCATGCCTGGGGCAAACTCCCACTGCAGTTATTCTCAGTGTCCGCTAGATGATGCTGGAACTGCACTGCTGAGCATCCCAGGGAGCTGATCCTGCATCGCGCATGTGTTGTGCCAGCCTGAGCTGCATCCTGGCACAGAAAGTGATGTTGAGAGCAACCAGGCTTTATCTCCCTTCCAGACCTTCCTTCTAACACGCTGCCTGGCCAATACTTACATGCAGGACAACCAGGACTGAGTTTTGCACTGCAGGGGAGTTGCAGAGTGTCAGAATGAATCGCACGGTGCTCCAGATGCGGAGGATGATGAAGATGACAGGGATGAGAATCAGCTTTTTGTCTGCTATGGAAGTCCGGGGCTGAAGCGGTGTTCTTGAGAGAATGGGGCGATACTCTGAGAGCGCCGCATGCTTCCGTGGAGATGGAGGAAAGACAAAAATGTGAACAAAAAGGCTACACACTCAGGACATTGAGCTCTGGGGGTTCTTTCCAAAGCCAACCCAGTTTTTGCATCCTGTGGGCAGTTGATGGTCTTGAGCCACATACTGCCCTTGTTAATGCAAACATTCCTGCTAAAGCCAAGGAGTTGCAAATAAAGGAGATCCAGCCCTTTTTAGAGCTTTATTATACCCTACATTGCTGGGTCAGACAAACAAATCAGTGCTGCAGGAACCTGCTCTCCTGGTGCCTGGTTGGGCAATTTTACAGATCCAGCAGTCCCTGTGCAGGACCTGGTGCTTGATTTCTGACCATACACTGTTAGCAACGGTCTTCCATAGGTTTAAAAAGCCAGCAAGCCTCTCTAACATTACAGGTAGTAAAATGTTTCTGGGATCTATGCCCTGGATAAGGGCAGTTGGAGGTACAAGGCCCTGAGATCTTTCCATGCTGGAAGCTGCTGGATGGATGCAGCATCCCGGATGGGGGAGACCAGGGCACCACAACCCATGGAGCACCTGTGGGGACACATGATCATGAATACCAGCATGGCAATGCAGGTGAAGAGATTAAGTCTCAGGACAGCTCACCTGCTGAAGACTATTTCTCCTGCCACCAGGGCTACCGAGCACGCACGGCTTTCATGCAGCATTCTCCTGGGCTCCAGTAATCCCAGGTGTGACTCCTCAGCTCTCATTCAGAAAGATTCATATGCCCACTACATGCCTCCCCCACAGCAGATACTTCCACAATCTGAAACCATGCCAGAACCAACCCTGCAAAACCCAAAAGTCCAGCCCAAACCCAGCCTTGGCCGGCTGTTGCTCTTCCTTGGAAGTGTGAAGCTCCTAGAGGAGGGCTTCTCCAGCCCAGCAAGCCCCATGTGCTGCTGCTCCGACCCCGCTCCGAGCATCAAGTGGCTCTCAGCAGGACGGGAGAACAGAGCAGCCACGTGTCCCTGGCAGAGCAGCAGGGGGATCAGCTTTCCAGGCAGTCACGTTGCTGTCTTCAACAGCTGCTGGAACATTGAGTCCTGTCTGCCTTGTGTCTGTAGCGGTGACAGGCACGAGCAAAGCCTTCCCAGCTTCCCTTCCCTGGATCCCTTGGGACCAGCACGGACTGTGCTGTCCTGCCAGCTTGCCTGGGGAATCCTGCCCTCACCAGAGTTGTGTTTATCCATGACTACTGCCATAGCTTCACCACAGCAAGCAGGTGTGCACGGCAACACATTCCAGAAGGACATTTCTCTGGATTTCTTTTTCTAATGCAACTAATTAGGTGTTGTTCTTTCCGCCAATGTCATCATTTAGATTTCATTTCTATTATGCAAGTATTGTCCAATACGTCTGGATTCTTTGTGCTCACAATAAACAGCAGCAAAGAACCCTCTGAGGCCTGCAAGTACAAATAGGGACTCAGAAGCAAGCTGTCATTAGCAATCCTAAAATGACTGTGGTTAGGTAAGTCAGTCCAGAGGCCAAATTCAGGCTTGGTACAAGTGGAAATGTATGGATGACTGATAAAAGCTGAATTTTGTCCTTCACACATTGTCTCAATTCCTACTGCAGGACTCACATTTCATCTCGTAACCCCTTAAGTTTTCAAGAGGCTTTTACATTCTTCTGGTGCTAAGTCATTGTGCAATGATGCTACGGGCTGCTGACTCAGCAGGACTGCTTCTCCCAGCAGTTGGACATATTTCAGCAGTTTATGAAGCAATTCCTGCCTGTGTAGCTGCTAATACACAGCGAAATCTTCAGAGTGGGAGGATACAATCCCACAGCAAGCCTGTAATGTGATCTGAAAGCAGCAAAGTACTCACCGCTCTGTTAATGTGCTTCTTGATGAGGATGTAGAGCACTGGCAAAGTCACATAGGCCAGGATCTCCCAAACTTTCCCCGTTAGCAGCATCCACAAGACCCGATCCTCTGCATCGAAGTTGACCCAGCACCAGCCCACAGAAACATTGGAGGCATCGTAGCCAATCTTCTTCAGAGCAACAGCCGCAACCGTAATGCAAAGGGGGACGCCCCAGCTGAGGAAAGAACAAGAGCAGCAAGGTTAAGCTAAGAACACACTCAGTTTAGTCCCCTTAATACCCTGGGAGAAATGGGTGACAGACGAAGGGATCTTTCATCGCACAGGATGCCAATTCCTCCTGCAGGATGCCAGCACTCCTGCACCAGGCCTAAGGGATGTGGCTGTGACAGGCACCCGGTGGGGAACACAAACCCACACAGTCCCTGCTTCAATTCCCTGGGATCCACTCTAAGAACCTGGGATCTCAGTCCTGGAGGACACACAAAGAATGGACAGGTGATGATGTGCCAACCTGAGCACCAGAAATGAGACCTGGCCTGCATACCTAGCAGGTGAGGTCCAGGATTTGGCAGGTCACAGCACAGTACAACGTGCCCATCCTGCAGGAGCCAGCCATTCGAGAACAAGCTGGCACATTCATGGCTTTCAAAACACAAGCAACCAAACCCCACACTGATTCCTACGTGACGCTTTGCACAGGTGACACAAAGAAATCCACGATTTCATTGCATCATTTGTGTCTTTGTAGTTGATGGTGGTGCTAGTAGTAGTGGTGGGGTTATTTGGATGTTTTGATGGAGGTGTAGTCAATATTTTGGGAGCAAGAATCATTTCTGAAGGACCAAGGGAAAGTTTTTTCCCAAAGAAAAGCACTGGTGGTAACAGCATTAAAGCTGGGGAAGCAAACAGGAGCCAGTTTCACATCATTTGGAGCTGTGTTTTGACGTCAGCTTCTGTCCTGCCAGAGGAGGCAGATATAGGGAAGCACCTAGCAGAAAAATAACTGCGGTGACACACAGGGACTAAGTCACTCAGCAGCTCGGGCTGCCCACAAAAAGCCGTGAGCAAGAATCAAAAGATTCCCCCAGCCCAGATGTAAAAACACCCAGCCCCTTCCCGTCAGCTGTGAATACCCAGGACTTCACAGAGCTGCCCCGGCCCACGATGTCCAGCTCACACATCACCCCGTGGCTGAAACACTGGAGCTAAATCACATCACCTGCCCTTCCCACATTCACCCTCAGAAAACATTTCTGAGGAAGCTTACGAGGGACGGTTCCTCAAAAAATGCCAGATGCCTCAGAGAGCTGAGATTGAGCTTTCAGCATGAACACCCTGCTCTCTGCAGACGCAAAGAAAAAGCCAGTGCTGTACTGGTCTCACCATCATCCTGGTTCATACTTGTATTGCTGGTGGCCTGGAGGAGCTACAGAGAACATGGACAGGATCATGCTCCTAACATCACCTATACACACACAAAACAAATGTAAATAGAAAGGTATAAGATATTCGGAGTCAATTGGTGGTGGTGTTTAAGGACAGCTCTGCTGCAGGGAATCCTCCTTGTGTTGTTATCAGAGCCTCCTGAACACACACCAGGCACCAACACCACCATGAAAATTCCCTCTACACCTCTCAAAACCTTCTCATTCTGGTAAAAATGGTGAAGTGGCCCAAGAACGAGGACTCTAGGCTCAGAGGTTCACATTTCAATATCTGGCAGAACTGACCACTGAGGTACGGATAAGCACTCAAGAGAACTGGCCCTTCCTTAAAGAAACCATATTAAAGGACATAAGCACAAATGAATCCAGCACCAGGACAAAGGAAATGTATTAAGAAACTAATTTGCCTAAATAATGATCTCCACAGTGACCTGAAACTGAAAGAGAATGATATGAGGAGATCAAACTGGGTCAAATTGCTAGTTATAAATATAAAAGAACAGTGTGAGGACATACACATAAGGAGAGGCTACAGTATGAAGTAACAGCTCACTAGCAAGGGACCGAAAAAAAGAAGTCTTCAAGTACCTAACCAATAAAAGAAAGATTGGGGAAAAAAACTGCCACGCATCAGGAGCCTAATTTAAGCTTCAGTTTTCACAGAAAGAGTGCATTGCGATCAGAAGGTTATCACAACTAACATTAAGCACAAAGGATCACAAACCCAAAGTGAAATTGGAAAGAATCTAGAAAATAATCAGACATTTCAAGGAAATTCATCAGTTCCAGCTTATTTGAAAATGTTTTAGAAAAGGGGAAAAGGAGAACTGAGACTCATGATTAAATTATTTTTAAGAACCCCTACAGAACAGATTACCGAGGACTGGAAAATACCAATGCTTCATACTTATCTAGAAGAGCCAGAAAATAATACATTACACACACCCAAAGCAAGTTTGAAGACCGGACTAAAAAGGATCCAAGATAGCATGAAGAGGCAGAAATCTTCCTTTGAGCCCCACGGTGTAATTATGTAGGTTGGGCCTCTCAGATCTAAATGCCATCAGTGCAGGAGATAAAAGGAGGCAATCCCATCCCTCAGGCAGATACAACTGTACTTATTTCCCTAATAGAGCACCCAGCAATCTATTAATACAAATTTATCCAATCCAGCACATCACTCCAGATCAACACAAGCGCTGCATTTATATGAGGTAAGGCAAGGACTCACGCTGGGCTGGTTTTCTTGTCCTCAGTGTGCCTGAGGTCGGATTGCTTACCACCACGTTTTGATTTACTCTGGACAGGTGCTTCCTCCCCCACTGGCTCCTGCAAGCAGGGAAGATTCGCAGTTGTTGGGCTGCACAGGTCGGACAAGCAGCCATCCTACAGCAACCTGCAGGTGCTTCCTGGTGGGAACTGGAATTTTTACTCTTCAAGAGAAATATCAGGCTTCTGGGGATCCAAGCCAACTTGAGGAAAGAGCTTCGAGCACGTGCTGTAGCACAACCCCAGACCAAATATACGACCAGTTTAATTTCTGTGTTTTCTTACCCAAACATTAACTGAGTCTGTAGTATGCTAGTACCAAGCCACTGCTACTATACAAAGACTTCTCCCAGAGAATTTAAAAGCCAAGGCAGCAGCAACCAGGTAGCATCCTTGGCTTGGCCTGACCACCTACAGCATTTTCTGAACAAGGAGACAAAACCACAGCAAAATCTAAGAGCTCCCTGCACCTCGTAAGGAAGGCTTAGGGACTTCAACTGGCCTGTTCTGAAGTGTATCACTGGCACTGACACAGTCGTGACAGCACAGATGTATGATACAATAAATTATACATGAAAGGGTCTCAAGTATTCCATGTATCTGTCTATATGCTTACAAGCATCTGCACAGCCCTTTCATGAAATGCAAACACTTCAGAGGTCGACAGCAACCACTATCGAAGACAAAGCAAGAAGCAATCCCAAGGTGGGATCTGGCCCACTCCTCGCCCTGAGTTTGGCTCAGCTGCTCTCGGAGCAAAGAAGCCATCGCCCAACCAAACGATGCCCGACATTTAGAAACCCAGAACAAGTGAGGTAGCCTGGAAACACTCCCAATGCCAGAACTTGCAGCTTACAAGTACTACAAATATTTTCAAAGCTAACTGCAAGCTTGTTTTCAAAGCTCCTCTGAGCTCAACACGTGTTTAAAAACAAACCAGGGCCCGCAGTTGCCCAGTCTAGCTCTAAGAGAGGTGCATGTGTTACCGTGACTCAACTCGGTGAGGAACAAACCCGTTCATCAGGTTTCATCCCCTGCAACGTCCTGATTTCCCTAAAAACAAAATTCCAGGTAGTAGCTTCCAACACATGCTTAGCCAGCTCTGCTCTGCTAAGGAACGGAGTCTCTGGTTATGCTCAATGTTAAACGAGCACGCCTTGCTACAAACACATGCCCCAGATGAGCAACTGCTTGAGAGGGCTGGAAAACTTGTGCACGACCAACCCCGTCCTGCCTTCCAGCCCTGCCAGACGCCCGTCTCAGCACAGCTCTTCACATGGCAGACACTGTGTGACCATGTCAGCAACCTGTCAAGTGATAAAAGGAAAAAAAAGAAGTCCCACGTTCTTGCCTAGACAAAAATGTGTAAACTTATCTCTAAATCCTTAGAGAATCACCTGTTTTTGCCCTCTTTTATTTTGCCCACCCCCCCACAGCTAGAGCACACGCTAGGATCTTTCCATACGAGTTGCAAAAATTCCTGTGTGTGTAGCACAAGATTTTTCTGGCCAAAAGCAAGGCAGACACCCAGAAGGGATCTGAAGCACTGAAAAGTATGGGGGGAGCCCTGCCAAGCACAAAATCCAGAATTTGTGCTTCTGGTGGAGCTGTCAGGCAGTGACAGCAATGCAGGAAGGAGGATGTGTCAGGAGGGGCTGGGCGGAGGACAGGTCCTCACTTGTTTTCCTGCTTTGCACACAGGTTGTAAAGCAAGAAGACGCTTTGAATGCAGAATGGGAGTCACCACTTATCAAGCAGAACCTGGAAACAGGACTTAGATGAAAGCTATCTACGCTGCCCTTTAAACAGGGCAAGCGGAGCTGAGCAACACCTAGAGCAGAAGATGGCATTTGATTTTGACTGCAGAGCCCTGAAAATAAACCTAGCAAATTCACCCAGAGGAAGTTGAGTTCGAACACTCCCTTCCTCTCTCGCAGCGCCACGGTGCTCTTGGGATTTGACTGCTGTGAAGGAGCGCACAGATCAGGGCCAGCAGCAACTCGCTGAGCCTCCCCGAGCTGCCTTCTGCACCCTGTACCCGACCAGGCTGAGCAGCATTAAACCAGGCGGAGATGTTTAAGTACAGACCGAGCTCACACGGCGAGCAATTAAGCAGACAGGGAAATTACAAGCGGGGCAGGTTTGCAGCAGCTCTTTGATGCAGCCTGATGCAAACAGCACGCCCATGAAGAAGTCAGGCTCCGTGTTTGTGTTCCCTCAGCCCCATGCAGGTCTTCAGCAGCAATTCCTCTTCTCCACAAGTCACCCAGTGCAACATCATCCTCAATTGAAAGGAAAAAAAGAAAACAAGCTGCCTCCTGTCTCATCGCATCTCACTTCATCTCCTGCACCCCGTGCTGGTGCGGCTGGCCACGTGTGTGCAGGCACCTCGGGCTTGCTCGCAGGCAGACCTGAGCATCAAGCAGCAATTACAAGAGGTGGGGCAGGATTCCTGTCCTCCCTGATTCCCTCTTAACCTTAATGTCTGTCACTGCCCCATCTTTACTTAGCTCTAACTCAATCACCTCCCAAGTCACCCTGTTGACAATAAGAGGTGACAAATATTTCACTGAGAAACAGAATAAATAAAACCCATTCCTTTGCTTGCCCTGACACTTTTTTGTTTTGTTTTGTTTTAAGAAATCATTCCTTGTATAATTTAGTGCAAAAGCCTGGCAGCCCAGAGCACTAAGGGATCACTGTTTTGCTCGGCGTGGAGGTAAGCACATGATCACACAAGCTCAAATTGCATAATGAAGGCTTTTACTGAACATGATGTGGAAAATCAGCTCACTAACCAGCAGCAACCAAGACATCGAGCTACACTGTGGGCTGCTTTGTCTGGCTTTCAATCAAACATGCCAAAACAACCTTCAGAGCGCTTTTCTCGCAGCCTCCTCACTTGCGGTCTGGGTTCCCCTAGGAGCGCTGGGTTACAGCAACCTGCTAGGGGAAGGGGGAGGACAAACAGACACGGGAAATCCGGGAAACGGATCCCAAACGCGGGAGCTTGGGCAGCAGCAGGCAGGGAGAGCAAACGCAAGTTTTGGGTTATTACTGCCAGGGTGTCAGAGCAGGCTGTGGAGGGGGAGAAGCCAGGATTTTGAGTCACTGGCACATTATCTTTGCAACTTAAGCAACCCGTTTTAACTTGTCCATGTCTCTACTTCTTCCCATGGGTGCAGCAAGGGGGGGAAACAAGCAGGGCTGGTTAGTCCCAAAGCAGAAAAACCCCTGGTCAGAAGGAACTCGAGAAGGGCACGGCATCCCCAAGGAGCAAGTGGGTGCCGTGAGCGCAGCGTGCCTGCACACGGGGCACCCATGGGCTCCACGTCTCACCGGGGCGTCCGGCAGCACCCACCTCACCGCGTGGAAGCAGCAGAGCAAGCCGGCCCCCGTGGGCGAGCCCCTCACGATGGTGAGGTAGAGGTAGAGGGCAATGGCCATGGTCCAGAAGAAGGAGCTGGTGTTGGAGAAGGTGGACAGGGCGCCCTGCAGCACGCAGTCCCACGACGTCCTGTCGAAGTCCTGCAGCACCCCGTAGAAGTAGGAGAGGGCTGAGAGGAGGTCGGCCAAGGAGAGGTAGAGCAGGAGCTGCCTGGGACGCGTCCGAAGCTCCGGCCACAGGGCATGGGTGCAGAGCAGGAGGCAGGAGCCCAGGCAGGACAGCAGGCAGGAGACCAGCACCACCGCCCGCTCCGCCGCGTACAGCTCCGTCGGGGGCAGCGGCCGGGGCATCGCGGGGAGCCCAAGGCGAGCACCCAGCCGGCAAAAGGTCGGAGGGGAAGGGAAGGGATGGGAAAAGAAGGGAAGGGAAGGGCCGGGAGCGGCGGAGCTCCCTCCGCAGCCCCGCTGCCGCCGCCCCGCCCCGGACACCCCGGCGGCGCCCCCCCAGCCCGCAGCCGGCTCTGCTCGCAGGGAGAGGCGCACAGCTGCCGGCAGGGAAGGGGAAGGGCCGGCTCGGTGCCCTTGGGTTTATTCTCTCTCTATTTTTTTTTATTTTAAACTCTCGTCCCGAAGTCATGCTTGCTTCCTCTCCTCTGCAAGCAGAGCGCGCAGCTCGCCCGCAGCCCAGGCAGAGCCCCCCAAACTCAGCGGGACCCCCCCGACCCCTTTTGCTTTCCTTCTCTTTACCTTTTCCTCGCTCCACAACACCCCCAGCTCACACCGGACCTCGTGGACCTGCAAGGCAGACAGCCCTAAGCAGGCACAAAACGGGGTTCACTACCACGTTCAGCACGTTTCGTATTTCTGTCCTAAATAAACTTGGTTCACTTTGCTGAAACTTCCTTGGCTTCCCCGCAGGTACCTCATCTCTCTCAGCTTTGATTCTGGGAGCAATGTGCTCAGTTTCCAGTGGAGTTCGTTGTTGGTTCAGGTGTTTTGTTCCCTAAAACAGCTTAATCCTACTTGTTCACCCTAAAACAGCTTAATCCTTCCCCCAGCAGGAGCAACAGAGGATCCCAGCTGAGCTCACAGATTTTAGCAAGGTTTCTCTAACCCACAAAACCAGGTGCCTTATCCCCCACCTCACCTTATCCTAGGAGCCTGAAGCCATCCAACATACCCCAGAAAACCTATTCCTAACAGAAACGTCTTCTGTTTGCGCAGTGCTTTTTGCCACGATGCTGTTTCAGTTTTATATCCCCATCTTCCAAATAGGGAAGGGGTTCCTCAACATTTTAAATCATGTATTTTTGCTACCTTATACTAAAAAACCACCATTTTACAACCATGTTTTTCAGGATAACCAGTACTTCACTCTGTTTTTTTCTGCTATTACCATTTTACTGCAAACCATCTCACAGCTGCTGTCCAAACCCATCCCTTCTGCCCTTCTGCCCCAGATTCACATCCAAGTACAAGCCACACCAGCACTTTCCAAGAAGTGGATGGAACTTCAGCACATTTTAAAATTGTATTTGCTAATTCTCCTGCACCATACGGGCTTGGCATACTTCTTGGTCACCTTGATGGATCAGTCATTTGCTCTGTTAAAAGCCACTGTTTTGAACCATTTTCCTACATAACCTTTTTGACCTTTAACACTCAGTTAACTTCCATCAAGCAGGCTTCTACATTTAGAAGTGCTTTTAGCAGAAGTTTCTTGTGGAGCCTGATGCCCTCTCTATGTTCTTTATAGGAAAAGGAAGCTGCAGCAACTTGCATTTCCCCTGCACACAATCTGACACTAATGTAGCTCTAACTAATCATTATTCCAGGCCTGCTTTAGCTACCATCTGACCTCCCCAAAAAAAACAATTATCTTTTTTTTTTTTTTTCCTTTGGTCAAGGCTGCATTCCCACAGCTTGCTCTTATGTTTTTGGCTTCTTCCTTGTTCCTTAGTTTCCCTTCCCCCCACTTTTATAGCACAAAAGAAAGGAGACAGGCTCACCCACTTAGTACAAACATCCAGAAAAACCACTTCGTCTCCAGCCCCGGATCCTGAAAGTTGCTTTTTGGGAGGGCGGGAGTGTGTGTGTGTGACTGATGTAGCTCTACAATACAGCTTAATTCTGAAGCCTTGCAAGACAATTTATTTCCACAGCTTATGGCCTGACTTAAGCTCTTTTAGAATTGGATAGCAGAGAATACCTGACTTGCAACCACAAGTTTGTAGAGCTGCAAATTTTGGTGTTGTCCAGTTTTACAGAGATATATTTTGCCCTTGGCAATCAGAAATTAATAGGACAGGCACGGGATCTCTTCCTGCTTCCTGAAAATAGGGACATGGTTAATTTGCACACACAAGTCATCATTCAGCAGCAGGGCATGCAGAGATAGTGCTCCAAAACTGAGTAATAAAAGGCAGATAACTTCAAGATTTTCACTACCTTCTGTTTTTTGACTTCTCCGTGTGCAAGGCATCCATCCACCGCCAGCATCTCTGTGGCATTCCTGTAATTTTGGTGTCGTTACCTTTAATCGCAGGGCAGCGGTGCAGCTGTCTGCCTGTCAGTCCCAGGGAATCCGCAGCTGTCCAGGGAACAGAAAGATTTGCAAACTGCCTAAAAATACACAACAATTCAAAGGAAGCAGTTGTGCGTAGCTCAGAGCAGGGAGAAGTCAAAGTCACAGGGTGGTGAAGTAACCTGCTACTTGGTGGAAGGACACAATTTCTTCTTTTTTTTAGCTGCTTAGAAAGCTTTCTGACACACAGGCTGCCCCCTTCATCTTATAAAACATCAGTCGAGCTGTAATGACAAATTCACTTCCACTAACCAAGATGTAGTGTACTGACTTTGCAAAAAAAGGCTGCAATAAGATTTTGGTTTGTTTTTTTTTTAACTTCACCTTTGCAGCTGGCCAGGAAGTTGGGCACAGTCCTCTATTAAGTGGGAACCTGGTTTATGCCTCAGGGTTTTTAAGTGATTACTAGGGGCTGAGACCTCCCAGCCCTTCTTGCACATCACAGCCATGATGCTGGCATAGTACTTTGTAACTCTCAATTTTGTGCCAGAGCAGGGAGACAGCTTTTGGCAGAAACAGGGAGATGTCATGGAAAAGGTACCTGCACACAAGTCCTGCTCCCACTCCTTCCTGCTCCTCTGATGGGTTCAGAAGCCAGCTCTGGGTTCACCAAGGGGAGAGAAGAGTCTGAATCGCTCCACAACCATTTGGACACCTCCACATCACAGCTTCAGCACGGCAGGAGACTGACACCAGGAATAGCTGTGTGTTTCCACCACCCAGCCAACAAAATCCAAACTCCCTTCCCCACCTTTGCGTTCATTACAACAGAGCGCTGGCTGCTGACACCCAGGCAGCCTCAGCACCCACAAGAGGTCACTGCTGGTCCAGGCTGAGAAATTTTCCTATTGCCACTGCCCGGATATGACAAATGCTCCCCATGGCTGCAGCTCTGGGGCTCCAGCCCCAGCAGGCCGCCACCTGCACCCCAAAACCAGCCCTGCAGCTGGGATAGGAGGTAGCAAGGAGGAGCATGCACACAACTGCTGAAACAGGGTACACCTCTAACCCACCCACATCGTGCTGTACCTGGGTCTAACCAGCAACCCAATGGCTTTCCTTGAGAGATGCTTAGTCATTTCTAGCACTTTTCCACTTACATTAAAAATGCGTAGTCAGGCTGCGGAGACCGCACAAGAATTTGAGCCAACAACCCACAAAAAAAAAGCCACCAGCAGCAAGGAGAATGTGATGCAGACAGAATGTAATTAGTGACACTGCTGGAATCCAGCCAGCACAATCAATGAATTATGTTCCCAGTGTTGGGGTAGTTTTCTTCATTTCAAATTTAAATTAGGAGATTAATATGGGATGTTCCTTCATGCTGTGGTTGCACAGATTAAAATAAAGGTATTAATATTATACATTCACAGTTGAACACTATGCTGCAAACAATACTACATTTAAGATCTGGTCTAAGAAAAATGTAGGGACTGCATCTCTTACAGTTAGTAACAGGAAAATAGGCCAAATCATTGTATTTTGGGGGTGCAGCTTTTACACTGAAAGCTCTGCCTACATCCTGCAGTTTTAACGCAGATGAGACAGGAACATAAAGGCTAATAATGAGACCCCTTAAGCAGGAGAAGTCATGAAGTTTGCTGGCTTCTCTGGTCACTGAGCCAGAAACCTCAGGTTTTCACATAAGTCATTTGAAACGGATGAAGTGCAAAACAGCAGAGACAATTCTCCTTACTGGAAAGGGTGTAACAGAGCCCAAGAGATTAATTCTTTCATTGAAATGAGGGCACTTAACCTCTAATGTCCAGAATCCAAAGATCACCCTGAAAATGCGTAGTAAAATACCATGCCATACTCCTCACCCTCCCTCAGTGAGTACAGGCAAAATGTCTGCATTTAAACAATTCACAGATTGTCTTTCCACGTGCAGATGCTGACTGCTCAGGTCCCAGCAGACTTGTGCACAGCTTCCACAATTTGCCCAACCAAGGGGGCAGCCATGGTGACATCCCCACTGGTGTCACTTGGCATTGTGTTGTTTGCATCATATGGTTCCTTCCCAGGTAGCAAACAGCACATTTAACAGAACTATTTGAAATACATGTTCAGACAGTCACTGCCACCTTCCTGGTTTAAGCACTACCACTCCAAAGTTACATACAGAACATCATTATAGACAGGAATTCAAGCCCAATGACTTTATTAACACCAGTGAAGTTGCTCAGGAATTATAGGGTGAGACAGAGCGAGGCCCATGTATTTGACCCAGCCACATTCCAGCCACTCAAACATCACTCCCACTCAGCCAACACCCAGCTCAGACAATAAGGAGCAGTGACACTGTGGGACAGGGCACTTGCACAGGATACTCAGAGGAACCCTTTGCAGCAACCTTCATGGCAATCCTTCAGTACTTGTTTTTTTAAGCTGTTCTTATTACCTGTAATGAATTAAGTTAAAAAGCAAAACAACTGCACCCTGTTATTCTCCCCAAAATTCTAGGGCTGATGGCTACCTTTGCTCTATGACAAATAAACCTAAAAATGAAAAGTCATCAAAAATATCAGTTTATCAGGAAAGCTGATGTACTAGCTCAAAACATTTGTCTCACGTCAAACACCCTGCAAAGGCTTGAGATGAAGCTTCAGAAGACTCACAACAGAAAGATACTCTGCTCCCTTCTGGCCATCCATTATCTTCTGAGTGCAGAGCTCAGACAGTTCATAGATTTCCATGACTCCCTGCAACTGGTGCAGTTATGTTTGTGTCTGGAAAAAAAAGAAGGCATACAGAAGTGTGGGCAAAGTCAGTGTGGTAAAAAAGGGTTGTAGGTGTGATGTCCCTGGATCACGACACTCAGGCAAGTCAGTGAGGGCTACAGGGCATAAAGCAAAGCCAACCTGATTTAATCAAAACTAATGAAAGCTTATCTTCTACATGAATACTGGAATTTTAAAACAATGTTTGGGTGAGGTCTTTCCCTCTTCCAAGGTGGATGTGCTCTTACATTCCCTTCTACAGAAGTGATCAGATATCCTAGACTTGCTTTTTCCCCCCCCTCAAATCCTCCTCCTCTCCCTCCTACTCAGATGATGCAAGATCAAATGTCTCATTGCATCATTAAAACCTAATTAACTCTTCCCCAGAAAGATCAGCTACATTTTTGGGCTCCTGAATGCAAGTACTTGCAATACAGCTGCTGACCAGCAGCCAGGAGAACGTGACGACAGGTGAGTTTTCCCCATGCTGGGCTTAAAGCCAGCTTGTCATTACTCAGACGAGTTCTCCCTACAAGCAGGCTCTTCTCCCGGTACCTAATGTTGTATTTCTGCAGCATTACTAATGACAGTTGGAATTTTATTTTTTGAAAAACGCATGTGGAAAGGACAAAGGAAGAACAAAGCAACTTGCAATATGTTTATCTTCTTTTCTTCATCGCATCTCTGATGCAGTCACCACATCAAGCATCCCGCAGCATTTTTCATGTCAGCTCTCTGCTCCATCAGGCAACCCAAGCTCCAATGAACACCGCACATCTGGGCAGCATCCCAGCCCGGATCCCCATCCACCTCTCAAGCCAGGGAGATACGAAGCAGGCCCAACAATGTGTAGCACTTCTAGGGCAGTATACTTGCTGATTGCTTCCTTAACTATTGCTCACAACAACCAGCTAAGACACTGCCAAAGAAACACTCACAGCTGGCATCGCACAAGGAGAGAAGTTAGGGTGGGCTGTTCGGTCTCCTCCTTTCTTCTCATTCACAGAAGACAAGAGTCTGGGGACAAACAAGGAGTCAATGAAGTAACTGAAGCAGCACTAGAAGAAACAGCTCTCCAGGGAGATGAGGCTCAAACCCCTAAATTGATAGATACCCTGTTCCTTAACCCCAGTCTCAATTAAAACCTCTAAGCATTACAAATATTAAGAAGATAAACCCAGCTTACATGTCTGCAATCCTTTCTTATCTCAGATAGTTCCCAAGTTTCACACAACACTGTTCAGGCAAGACAACGGACCACTGGAGTGTTTCCAGATGCTTAATAGTTTAGGGACACAGGACTGTTTAAACTCTAGGTGGGTTCACCTGAATGCACAGCGCTGCTCTTAGGTCATGCATGGTGTTAGAAGAACTCACTGGAAACACAACCATCTGCAAAACAGAAGAAAAAAAGGAACCAATACTCACTTGTATTAAATCCATTTGAATTTCCTATTATACATGTGGAACAGCCTGAGATGCACCAGACATGGTGTTATCTAGCATTCCTGCAGTCCTCAGTTCCTGGAAACATGTGAACATATTGGAAGGCAGCCTTCAGGGCAAAGCAATTCCTCAGCTCTTGCATCATAGCCTCAAAAGCAGGTCATTACTCCTAGGGTCTCTTGTGCAACACTGCAATATAAAGGAAAAGCACGCTGCATGGCTAGAAGCTCACTGGCTTTCAGCAGCCTCTAACACATACATGTTCCAAGACATCTACGCCTTCCCTTCTTCCTAATGTATCTAGTTAGGAACACCAGAAATTCAAGCAAGATAGGTTTGTGTTTGGATAGCAAGATGGAGCACCAAGACACTAAATTCTGTCTTGTTCTCATTTCATCTTCCAACAGCTATCACAAAGCTGCCATCTTGCAAAGGAAGGCAAGAGCAACAGCTGAAAGGCAAGGATCAGAAATGCCTCCAAGTGAGAAACAGACGTCAAAACCCTGAACTCCTGGCTATTGCTGAATTTTCAGAATGGCCAGCATTTGCAGCACACGATCTTCCAGGAAAGCATACAGTAACTCAGGACAGACCTGTTGGGTTTATTGCAAGTCGCTAGATTAAGTTCAGTGGCTTCTGTTTTACAGCAGAGCAGTGGAGGTGACGGAGAGCT